TGTCACTTTGCGTATAATACCTCTGTACAGCGCACAACCGGTTACTCGCCGTTCTACCTCGTCCACGGTCGCTTCCCCTCTTCTTTCCTCGATGTTTCGTTCTTCTCTGCGCCTGTCAAACCATGTTCATCTTCAAGTGAAGAATACGTGTCTCGTCTACTTCATTGCCGCCAGCTGGCTCGCGTCAACACTGAAGCCAAGCAACAGGATCGCAAGCTGGAATATGATGCCTCCCATCGTGCCGTGTCTTTCAGCCCTGGCGACGAAGTCCTCCTTCTTACACCCATTCGCACTCCCGGACTGTGCGAGAAGTTTCAATTACGTTTTATTGGCCCCTACACTGTCTTGGAGCAAACGTCTCCTGTGAATTATCGCGTGGCACCCGTTCTTCTTCCGACGGACCGCCGCTACAGGGCAGCAGAAATAGTCCACGTATCCCGCATGAAGCCTTTCATACGGCGTTCATCTTCGCTTTAAAATGCGGCCAAGAACTGCGGTCAGGATGACCGCTTTCACGTGGGGGGGGGGGGGGGTTAGTGTAGGCATTCATTAAGCACATCATCTATCTTTACACATATTCATCATCATGAGTGGTCGTCATCTTCTTCTGCTGTGGGGACTTGGCTTGTCTGAGTTCTGTGCCTTGGGCGTGGTCGCTTCATCGTGTCTTCCGGGCCTAATAAAGGTTGCCTTTACTGTTACATCACAATATATATATCTTGAGTGAGTCTGAGTGAGCTCCACCATTTATTTCCGACACATGGTCATACCGCTTGAAAACGTACTGCTTGGAAATGTGGGCCATGTTTGCCGAAGAGCGGAAGCAATCTCGTACAATCACTCGCAGCTCGCTCTGTTTGTGAAGAAAAACTACTGTGTCACTAACAGCTTAAGGGGGGCATGCAAAAGAGTCGGCATTTGGAAAACCATATTCATGGGTTGTATGTCTCGTGAACTAGCTGTTCCGTATTTCTCAGCACCTAATTCAGCCGCAAAGTGGGAAAAAAAATGCTATTTTCGAGGCTGCAGTGGTGTCTGAAATGCGCAAAATACGCCTACATCAAACCAAACCTCGCACGCGCTCTGTTCGCAGATCATGCGGTCGTCCCGTGCCGTCTTGGTGTTGTTTTCAGTGTGATTTCTTTCTCTTTCGTTTACCGTCTAGCAACATGGCGTTGGCAGCACACTTCAGATGCTATTGGCGTTTTCCCGCAAGGCAATGCGGAGCGCTCATTGTCTAGAGCAGTGCATTCGTATCTCACAGGAAAAAGCGCGCCCACCATCGCCTGCTGAGCAGCAGGGGAGGTGGTCACCTCCTTCGATGACGCGCGCTCATCCCGTGTTTGCTCTCTGCTCCGATTGCCTGGACTGGCATCTGCTGAGCCGCTCTTTGCCTTGCAGTATCTTTTCGATCATTTTCTATTCTTTTATTTCTTTTTGCACTAGTTTTGTGTTTTTCGTCTCTGTCGTCATGCGATGCTGGTAACGAAACCGAGGACAGTGCAGAGGTCCTGTGCACTGAAGCGGGTTATGCGGTTTGTGCAGGCACTGAAATATCGCTATTCTGCAGCGAGTGTTGACTTCCTAGACGCTTGCAGCAGCAGAACTGTGCAGTCAGCGGTCGTCAGTCGAAAGTGCGACTCATCGAGTGTGGCTGGAGCCGCAAATGCTCTGAGTGTTTCCCAGATTGTGGGACTCGGCACATGCTCCGAAGCGGCGCTATCTAGAGTGACGCCGATTGTTTCTGAGATCGCCAGGCTCAGCACTACGTTGCTTTACGCTAAAAAATAAATTGCAAATGACACCTAAAAAAAAGTGCATCAAGACACTTCTAGCTGTTCTTCTGAAGCTTTCTGAAGAAAACCCAAGTGTTTTAACTTTCTAGCCCGTTTTTTCAGAATGGATTTTTTTGCTAGTTGTGGTGCCGAATAAGGCTAAAGCTCAAACTCCTCACCAGATTTGTGTACCTTTTTTTTTTAATTATGTTTTGGGTGACTTTGCCGTGGTGCAACAAGCTCCTTTTTTTTTTTTTTTTGGAAGTTGGTGTCGTTAATTTGTCAAAAACAATCACGTTTTGATGAATATGGTAATTACGAAGTACATCAAATTCAAGGTTGCGTGAACATTATTTGAAGGGGGAACTGAATCAAATGGCTTTGCGCACCCTGGGATGTCTATCAAGAAATGACCACAATGAATTTCATCTTTCTACTATGTCCTGGAATTTCTCATGACCTTCCACAGGCACCCACGTGAACAACCCAGTGCAACCCAATTGAACCTCAATAACTTTAGAACTAAAGAACCACAGCTTCATGAAAGTTTGCAGTTGCATTCTTAGTGTACGGAACATGCCCTGAAATTTTCATCCAGATATGTCAAAAAATAAAAGTTTGGTCTCCAGGGTAGCCTCCCCCTTGAAGGAATAGTGAACAACCCCCGCCGCGGTGGTCTAGTGGCTAAGGTACTCGGCCGCTCACCTGCAGGTCGCGGGATGAAATCCCGGCTGCGGCGCCTGCATTTCCGATGGAGGCGGAAATGTAGGCCCGTGTGCTCAGATTTGGGTGCGCGTTAAAGAACCCCAGGTGGTCGAAATCTCCGGAGCCCTCCACTACGGCGTCTCTCATAATCATATGGTGGCTTTGGGACGTTAAACCCCACATGTCAATCAAATCAAAGGGCCAGTGAAGAACCCCAAAGTGCCTAAATTGTTAGGAAGATGAAGAGAAAGATGCACGCTTTTGCTATGTGAACATGCTGCCGCAAGATTTTTGTGAATACTTATTATAATGAGGAAGTTACAGGTGTTAGAACACCTGTTCCAGCTTATTTCAAATTTTCTTGAGGCCTTGCCACCCTTCTTTACCATAGAGAGGGTGAAGGCGTAGCCCATCATGACACCACCCACTTGGGCAGCGTGCCATGACGTCAGCGATGCATCATCGGCATGCAGCCAACAACTGAACAGGGCTCTCGTTCTGGCAATACTACTTTTCTCGGTAGTGTCTGGCTCTAGGAAACGGCACAGAGCAGCACAGGAAAATAAAATGTGGACTGCGTGGCCAGAACTGCATCACCGTAGGGCCAAGGCGCCGTATCGGAGGGCAAAGGCCCATTCGATGAGCTCAGTGGTATGTCAAGTTTCCAGTGGTCGAGCTTGCGTTACTGCATATACGAGGGGGATTGGTCAGAAGGAAAGAGGTACGGGAATTGTAAATCCAGATGGAGGGTCTGCGTGGCGTGCAGCGTTGTAATATTCGAACAAATCGCCACGGCCTTCTGTTCGAATTGGCAAGCATGTTCGGGGATGTGACAAAAAAATAGGAGCCTGTTTACTGGCGCTATTAAACTTTACAGGGCATGTGACAATCACGGTGCAACACGATATGCGAAACCTTGCAAAAGTGACAAACGCCTTTGAAAAAGCTCGCATCTACCGTGTCTTACGTCGTACCAACGCCAATCAATTTGCTTTCTGTCTTAACTTGAGACGTGCCGCAGTATGTTTGCCACCACTGGTAATCGCACCATCTTGCACAGCAGAAGTGGTTTAAAAGACAACGCCAGGCATAATGGCAACCAAAGGTGAAGTCTCTAAGCGCCTGTATTGCAATTAGTCGAGTCGTCACAAAGATGGCAGCAGGCATACATCGTCTCTGTTTTGCATCTGGTAGCCAGAAACCTTCCAGCTATTTCCGAGACCAAATTCGTCATGGCGGCGTTTGGTGACCCACAAGAAAAACGAACACCGACTTAAATTGAGCCGTGCAATAAGCTGAGGAACCCACAAACTAATGCGCTCTGGGAGAAATGCGGAGCGGATGCGACAGCTTATTAGCCATATCCACTGGGCACAATGGCGGTGTTGCGACAGTTATGTGGTGCGCCGTGCTGTGTAGCGGTGGCGACATGCGAGTTTCTCAAGGTCTCGCACTGAACCGTAGTGTACTATAGGAACGATAGCCTCCATTCCTTGTGCCTCACTGTTGACTCCGCAGTGTTTCACCGGCTGTTATCTCAACCATGGGGTCCGAACAGAAGTGTGTGGAACGTGTGCGTACCTATGTACCGTGTTATGTATGAAGTATTCGCAGCGCTCGGCTAAGTCGTGCCAAATGCTACGGGACATACACATTTTTGTGGCCTTCGTCTAAAGATTTTTACGGCCAGCTGGGTCGTTTGCCATCGTTTAGGTGTGCGGTTGATGCGCGATGCGTTGCGATTAGGGTTGTACGAATAGTGAATTCCTTTTTTGGGTTCAAAGGAAGTGGAAACAACTTTAAATAGTAGAAAGGTTTGACTTTCCGTAGAGTGCAAGGGATAACCTCTAAAATGTTACGTTTTAGAATTTTGTATATTTGGAGCATATAAGCCGGTATAACAAGCTTTTAAGCTGAAAAAAAAAACAAAAAAGGAGAATCTATGGGAGGGCAATTTGTTCATGTGACTTGAAAGTTAGGCTTTAGGACAGTGCATATTTCCTCACGTCTTAGTAACCCTTTGCTGCAGTGAAGCCACCTTTACAGGGTGGGGTGTACTTGTTATTTGCGGAATGTGCACCTATTCGGTCATTTCGAATACTTTGAAATTTTCAACAATTTAAGTTTAAAACAAAGCAAATTTAAATAGAGTAATATTTAGAATAGAATAAGTAATAGAATAATAGTAATAAGTAATTTAGAAATCTAATAAGTAATAATCGAATATTGAAAGCATTCGAATGTTTGCACAAGCCTAGTAATGATTGCCAACATGCTTTGACGATTGCCGCTACTTTATTTGCATGGTTGAGTAGCACGGAAATGGAAGAAAAAACAAGGAAAGCCATCCCTGGTTTTCTTCCTTCACCTCGTCCGGTCAAGCACTACCCAACAATGGATAGGTTCCTACTCGCCTGCCTTTTCTTTTTTCCTTTGGTTCTGCTCTTTGTGTGATCTTCAGTACTGCTTTGTGAAGTAAGCCATGGTTAAAATGACTTTATTTCTTTCTCTTAATTCTAGGGCACTGGTGAAAATGTCGTTGAAACATACACTCCGCATGACGCTGGCTTGATGTGCTTGAAGATCCGCCCCGGAGAGCCGCAGAAAATTTATTCTGCAAGCTACGATGACACCCTTGCGGTGTGCAGACATTGAGCGGGGCATTTTCGATGAGGTGAACAACAATGTTCCTTATTCAGCTTATTTTCTCAGTGGTGGTTTTATGAAGTGCGAAGTGTTTCATGCTGGGAAAGTTACTTCGGGAAGAAATTCTTCCAAGTGTTCATAATTTCTGGATAAAGCCAAACATGTTTGTAAGAGACACTAATGTGGGAGACAAATGGGCTTATAAAACACATCATTAGGCTCGACATTGAAATAGGGGTTGAATAGAAAATAAGAATGTGGTATCCTGCTTGTAAGAGACATCCCATATTAGGGACAAGAACAGCTCTATAGTGCGTGTCATAATGGTGTTCAGCTGTACTTGTATGGGTAAAGAGATTTCTCAGGTGTCTTATGCTGTGCATTGCTACCTACCACAGCAGATGCATGTATATGGAGTGCCCTGCCCCATTATCAGGTGTGGGAGACTTGTGCATGTGGCCAATTTTTTATATTATTATGCTTTCCTGCCCAAAGTTGCTACAAAAGCATTAAAAATGCTAAATTTGAGCAGAATTAGTCCTCAAGAGCCTTAAAAGCAAGAATTTTGGTGTCCACGTCAGCTTCAGTGGGGAAAAGACCGAGATATTTCGTACAGCACCTAGGCGCACTGTTGATAGCAATAAAATGCGATGTTTGCATACAGAGGGGCCCAAGAGAGAAAAAAGAAATATATATAAACCAAGCATGTGGGAGGAAACTACAGTCCGGGTTCCCTGTGAAGATCTCTGCAACCACCTGGGCTTTTTGAACCAAGGCCTGATGGAAGGCAGGAGGCCTGTTGCATTTTGCATCATCCCGCGGCTCTTGGGTGCGGAAGGGATGCAGGATGACAGGAATGGGAGGAAATAATTTTTCTAATTTTGTGACGCGCTCCATCGGGACGTGGATTGCCGTTTGGGAGCTGCCACAGCCCAGGAAAGAATCTGTGTAGCAGTCAGGGTAGAAGTTACGCAAAGAAAAAAGGTAGAGGCGCCCAAGCTTGTCTTAACTTTGCACATTTTCTAATGAAGGCTCCCGTGGTGCCACTAATTTTCTCTGGGTTGTTGTAAATATCTGTGATCTCCCCCCCCCCTCGAAAGTGTGCTGCGGTGGTGCTAGCTTGCTTCTACTCACTGGGTTGCGCATTGTGGAGCTACTGCCACGTAGTGAATAGGGTGCCTTAATGCTCCTCCTCCATGACATATCTAACACTGGTTAGATAGGTCAGGTGATTTGTGTGGAGAAGTTGCAGGAATCACACCTAATGATAACCAGTTTTAGAAAAACTGTCTTCAAAGGCTGTTGCAGTGTTATGTGTATTCTCAGATAATTAAAATATCTATATGTCCCTCAAGTTGCCACAAATTTGGTTTTTTTCAAGTTCCTAGGGCAACATAATCAATGCCGCTAACTGCTCCAAGCCCACATTCTGCTCCAAGATTGAAATATTGCTGCTCCAAAAACTGCTTCCAATTCAACTTCAGCCATCTCACCCCTGCGTTATTCATTAGCTCTATGTCCACCGATGTCACACACGTCCCGTTAATTAGGGAGGCGATCGCCGGGCTAATTCTAAGAGCCGAAGTATCGGCCCCCCGAACCGCACCACGAAAGCGTGGACAATTTAGGAGTGGTCCTTATTGGCGCGCCAGCAGACGCCGGTTGTGGCCCAAAGAACAAGTCAGAGCAGAGAGTTGATAAACAAACGAAATTATATTCTCAATAATGGCAGATCAGAAAAACAATACACCAATATGTTCACTCCACAATAGCTGAGTACAATATGTCACCAATCAATCAACACACTACCCAGTACAATTAGCCACACTCAAACAACGGACACAGACAACAGTACACACTACAATGCAGTCGCATGCATTGAACAACCAAGACCCTTAAAGTATAAAGAGATAGAAAACCTATTCAGTCCAAAGTCCTTGGAACCATAGTCTGAATGATACTCTTCCGAGAATCACTCACTCAAAGTCCAGCGTTGTTGCCGTTCCGCTGTCCCGAAGTTTCTCTTCCAGGAAACCTCGCGTCTTCAATTGGCCACTCTCCAAGCTTCCAACTTCTTCACCGGAAACACGTCGGCTTCACACACGCAGCTGTTGCCACGCGTGTTCACTCGATAGCGGTAAACACACGCTCTTGCCTGTAGCTCGAGCCTTCACCCCTCAGGTGGAAATCCTCTTCATCTCCGGCTTCGTCCCTACGGACCAAACCTTCGCCGACTACACGGCGGAATCTCTATGCACTCTGGCGCTACTTCCGTCTTCCCCTGATCTCTCATCTCGGCTGCTCGGTTAAATACCTTGCGCGCGACATTCCAGACGGTTCTCGTCATTTCGTCGGCGCGATACGCAGCGAAGGCTGGGAAGAGGGCGAGACGGTTGGAATGCCCTCCGCGGCCGATGACTCAACTCGGTATGACCACGCCCCTTTCGTTCTAGAACTCTCGCGGGCTATCTCGGCCGCCGATGTGGGGCGAGGAGGTTCGTCGGCGAAGCCACGCTTCCGAGGGGAGAGCGCGCGCCCCGGGGAGCCTTTAGATAATTGTTTTCTTTTTCTTTTGACCTCGCGGCGCCACTCCGGCGTTTCGTCGCGACAATTTGGCGGCGCGCCCATTTTTAGCGCTCGTTCTGTGACAACCGAATTCCTCTACTTACTTTGCCTGCAGGCACACCTGATTGACAGTGGAATGCCTTCAGTTGTTTAGATGGTTAAAAATAATTTGTAGTTTTATTGCGATAGCAATTATATGGACACTCTCGGCTGTATTTTGCTGCTGGGCATCATGCACCGTATATGTATCTATATATATATGCAAATGCAAGAAAGAAAAAAAATTCAGAATAAAGATTCCGGCTAGTGGAATCGAATGTGGGACGTCCGCGTCATGAATCTGAGGCGTTAACTACTAAGCCACCGAGAAATACTTCCTTCAATGTTCAAACAGCAAGTTATTCATATCTGCCGCTTATTGCTGTTGGTGGGCATCTCAGGGGGAACTATCCATGTTTTTAGCATTATCAGCAAGATAGGGCAATGAGGGTGTGGCGGCTCTAATCTCCCACGTGTACATTGGCCTGCAGAGAGGAGGGGAGTGGATGATCTCTCCTGTGCCCTTATCTCCCGGTGGGGAGGATTATACTGTTGGGCTTGAACTCAAACGATTCTGTTGTAGTTGCGGGGCGCACAAAGGTTGCTGCAATCGTTGCACAGCTTCCGTTTGCAAAAAGGGCACGCTTTTCAGACACAGTGAAGTAACAACTGAAACGCTTATTCTCGTTTATCTCTACCTGTGTATTCTCGTTTATCTCTACCTGTGAGTACATTTCGTGCGTCATTTGTGCGTGAGAAACGCGGGGTACGTTTCAATCTGCTTGCCATTCTGCACGTGACCTTCCATTCACTGCTTTGCCCTTGCGGCAAAGCTATGACTTTTTTTGTTTCACTTGTTGAAAAAATTTATAACTTTGCATTAAAATAAGTAGGCAACCGCTTTGGAGATTAGGAATGCTGCCATGGTCCAGGCTAATCCGATTGAAAAGTGTTTCACTATTTGAAGCCTCTAGGATCTTTGTCATAGTGTTTTGCTCTAAGAGAAGGCAGTTGCACTTCGTATCTTCATTTCAAATTTAAATAATATGCCTTTTAGCTTCCATCTTTCACACCTCATGAAAGCAATCCTAATAAGCATGCAAAACATATGCTACAGGCATTTTGACTTCTTGAGATGTGTGTCTGTAATTATACAACTGAGAAGTCTATGCAGAAGCGATGCTAGTTCATTATTTGCCAGTTTTGTTCGAGATCTAAACGCAGTATACGTCCTTGCAGCTGTATCGTACTGAACCTGACGTTGGAGTGATGTACATTGACTGGCTGACGGGACAACACGATGATCGCAGCACATGGCAATGGTCAAGTTTCTTTTTTGGACCCCAGATCGCAAGAGTGAGTGTTTTATGGTCGATGATACTGTACAACCGTTGGCAGTACGATAGTACACATGAGTGAACATGGTTTTCTTTTCACCTTGACTAATGCATGAAACCTTGTGCTTTGGGCTGCGTTTATCTTCCGCTGTTGTTATGTACTGACTGTGTTTCTGCTTGTGCTGCTCTTCGTAGGAAAAAGGTTGGCATGTACGATCTGCACAGTCGAAAAGTGAGGACCATCAATGCCCACCCGACGAACAGCTGGTGGTTCCTGACGGGCAGCACAGATGCGTAAGTGCAAATACTCTGCCACGCAACCTCTCGTTTTCGTAGAACTTCTAACACTAGGGCCTGTTATCATAAATTTCAAACTGGACGCTTTCAACTGCTTTGAGGTACAGCTAGCGGCAGTAAACGTGCGCGTCCTGCCACGGGGCAGTGTGACAGGATCTCACACATTCCGAAAATGTGCACGTCAGAGCAAGCATTGTTTTCTGTTTTACATTTGCGCTTTTCTTTATGCTGCGGCATGTCTCGGATGAAAGCCCTGCAGAGCAGTGGCATCCTGATGCCTTGAGACATCTCTCTTCTCGCACCTGATTGGTCATGTGCATCGTGTCACGTGGAATTCGCCGCAGATTATGGTCTCGACCCATCTCGCGCGATATGCCACGAGACTTCACATTCCTGGACGCGCAAGGCATGGTGCGTTTGTTTTTACAGCTAGGGTTTCTGTACCCTTAATGGAGTTCTGGAGTGCACGTTGCATTTGGCAGGTTGAAATCCAGCTGTTGGAAAAGGCATTCGTTAACGGATCTCTCTACGTGCAAAAGCACTTACATTTTCTTGTCAGCATAGAGCATGCATTTTCATTTGGCTGAAAATTTCAGAAAAGGTTTTGTTATTTAAGCTGTTTTAAAAAAACAGTAAGAGTTCAAAAACGTGGGAATTGAACTCAAGTTAATACAATCATGAGCTTGTAATGCTTTAGCGTCTCGAGCCACGAAATGGAGAAAGAGTCTGTTAGAGTGCATTTATAATGCTCGAAAATCATCATAACAAAGGTACATCTTACAAAAAAATAAGTTCGTTATGTTCAAGAACTCATTTTCATTCACTTTGTTATGACCAATATTTTGTTATACAGTCGAGCCCACTCATAACGAACCTGAGCCTCACGCGGCATCTGTTTGCTGTATCCCGAAAGTTCGTAGTAAATGAAACACAGCTTTTAAAAAAGTTGCGAACGAAAACAAACTTTTTTGCACACACTGGATCCACATGCTGTTCAGCATGTGTGTGTCGTCTTCTCCTCTTGTGAACGTGTCCTTAAGCTGGTTTCTCCGTTTCTTCAAGTATGTACCAACAGGCCCAGCAACAGATTCTACAGCAACAAAGCCCGATAACAAAAACGTTTCTAGTAAACTTTTTGTGTGGTCCTATCGATCGGCTTCGAATAAATTCTTATTTGTGAGGACGAGAAGGCATATCTTCTGAAGTAAGAACTCAGCTCCCCCCCCCCACTGTTCCAAAGATCGCCGGACAGCACCAAGGTACCTTTCACATCAATATTCTAATTTGACAGCTGAACTCACCTGCTCTGGAACGTCTTGCTTTCAAAATATAGGTCACGGTGCCTTACAATGTTATTGCAATGAGTGACGAACATCTAATGCAGAATACAAACTTCTTATTTACAGTTACCTTGAAAAGAAATTAGTGATTAGTGATTGGCGAGCACCCTTGATCGATGCTGTTATCACGTTGCGCCACATTTCACTAAGCTGCAACACTTCAGCTCTGCAGTCGTCTTGCTGCAGCTGGAAGTATTCCTTCACTTCATCAATGCTGTCAGTCACCTGCTGCGAAGCCAGCCTGGCTGCAGAGGACTCGTCTTCGTGCTCGCTGTGATTCTGATGACAGCTCAGAACGGCCTTCGATCGCAGCTCTCGCCTCCTCTTCAGTCAGCTTCTTATTATTGACGGTGTCGTCAAATGTGACGTAGTCAGAGAAGCTGTCTGCCGCGAAAGCCCCCCTGACTTGAGGCTGCTTTCTGGGGCCATTACCTAAAAATTTGCGAACAGACAGAACAGTCAAGCACGGGAAACACAATGACAAAATGGCATCAACTAGCTACATCTGTGCATGACCAACGCCACCAACACGCTCTCAGACGAGCTTGACTTGGCTGGAAGCCACCAATGTTGCCAGCTGCCATCTAAAATTAATCGCGGCTTTAGCTCGCAGGAAGCAGCATGGTAAGTCTTATCAGCCTGCGTCAAAACGGCAAAAGTCCGCTTTTAAGCTTAATTTTGACAAAAAGTGCCACTAATTTCGTCCATTGTAGACGATAGTCCGTTTTATTGCGATTCATTAAAAGTGAGCGTCGCTCTGTTAATTTTATACACAGGTCAAACTTAGGCTGGATAATCGTCTGTTGTATCTGAAAGTTCGTGTATGCAGGTCCTGTTTAAGGATTGTAGACTGTATCGATTTTTAAGTGCTGGCACTCTTGGGTCCACAGTGAACATTTCACACGTAACCTGTACATATCACATTGTTGTCCATGACAAGCAGCTGTAGTCTCTCTCTCTTTCTTTTTTCTTTTTCCCATCGGTAATAATGTGCATTGGTGTTCTAGGATGGTTAAACTTTGGGATTCCCGAATGATGTCGAAAAGAAGCCCAGTGCCCCTGGGAACACTGACGCACCACCGCTCCTGTTCTGGGGCATTCCTCTCACCAGTTGAAGGCGACAAAGTCCTTTCAACATCATTCGACGACACTATCAGGTTTGTAATCTGCAGTGCGCTTACAAAATTAACTACTTTTTTATACATATATATTAGTTGCATATTCATGTAGTTTCAGAAATAACTGAAATGGCTGCATATTTTTCCTGCAGTTTCAATCTGTCTAAGTCGGTTTCAGAAAAGATCAAAAGTGGTATACTTGATATCTTTGATTTTCCTGCTATTTTTGTATATTATGTCCGTACAACCAAATAGCACGAAATCACTTTCTTTTTTTTTTCATATAAAAAATTTTGAAACCAAAGAAAAGTCGAAGAGCATCGCCGGTTGACAATGGCCATTATATGAAAAGTGTTTTCGTGAATTCGCGATTATGCTAACAGCGATGCAAGCTATATATGACAAATTTCTTCTTGCCAAGCACAAGTAATGAAGAAATAGCTCACTTGATCTTTTCGAATTCTGGGCTACTTAAGTAATTTTTTAAATTCCCGAAAAACACCTTGTTTATGAAACTCACTCGTTTTTGTGGTGCGATTTCTGCATTTGTGAAAGTCATAGCTTGTTCATATTTACAGCACTGATAGTGCCTAATGTGAGTAATTATCCTTTGCATATTTATTTGGTTAGTAATTTTTAAAGGACTAAATTTTTTTTGCCCGAGACATTTCTTAATTTGAAGACAATATGTGGTTTCGAGCTATTCTGTCTTACGGGCATATTATACAAAAGTACGAGGAATATCAGAGATATCAAATATACCACGTTTTTTTATCTTTGATGGAGTGGACCTTTATCCAAACTGCTACTTGGCAAAAAAAATAATAATAATAATAATGGTCTTCCAAAAATTGCACACTTCACCTACAGGTCAGTTTACTCGTGCAATTACAGTGTGCTCAGTAAGTTGAGTGATTTATGTTAAAAAACAAATCTTGTCATCAGTTTCACACTGGTGCCGATATATGCTGGTTCAGCTGCTTCTTTCTCTGTGCCATGTTTGATAGTAGATTGTGCTTCCCTTGGACACCGTGTGTGAGAGCACATACCTGAGATATGCAGAGATTGATTGGATAATTTTTAAAGTTGCGCAATTCAGCATGCCTGAATGAAGCAAACAGTTATAAGAAGATGGGGCGGAGGGGATACAGGCAAAACAAAAGTGGTGACATCGACACCCACCACATTACACTGAATTACATTGGGGCTCACATTAACAGCTATAAGTTGTTGAGCTGTTGCCCGAAAATCATTCTCCAGCCTTGAGAAACAACTATCTACTAATGGCATCTTTGGCTGGCGGCACTAGTGGCGTTTTCTGTGCACTTTTGCGGTGCCGTTTGTTCGTCTGGGCACCACGCATGCGGTGCCGCATGCTCGGCTGTGCAGGCCACGACACGAGTGCACACTACCGTGGCACTGCGGAGGTCGACGGTGGAGTGTGGTGCAATCCTATCAGCGTGCGCGCACTGGCAGACAACGCAGTGACGTTCCATAATTTCAGGGGTAATTCACAGCTGGCGCTGCCATTGAACACAGGTGGACGGGACGGAAAATATGCGTGAGCTTACATCGTGCGACCGTACTCGCACAAGGCTACTTTTGCTGCCAGGATTGTTTTTGGACACCAAAGGTGATGCGAGAATCATTGTAACCGTCGTTGAGTTGGTACAAAACTGATACAGCACAACCACCTGGAGAACAAACGCGCACTCACTAGACACGTAGCATCTCACAAGCGTCTCTCATTGTATCGATTTCTGTTGTTTGCTCTTTTATTCCCAGTGCACACAGGATGCAGGAAATTGTGGTCTGCTGAATGGCATCTTTCGCAGACGTCGCTGCAATCGTGGATTTGAGTTTTGTGGTTCACACATTCGTCTGGCTCGTAGTGGGTTGTGAAATTCCGGCGGTGTTTGACGTAACTTCCCTTGCACCATTACGGTGCCAGTGCACCTCAGCCGAATTTCCATAACATGAGCTAGCAGACAGTGAAGAAAGGGACACTGAGAATAGACCACAACACACAGGTGCTTTGTTGTGTGGTCTATTTTCAATGTATCGTTTCTGTGCCATTTGAATAACTATACCAACAAGCCAGATTAACCACCATTTTGCAAGTACTAGCAATGTGTTTCGATCAGCCAAAGACATATTCCAGCAACTTTTCTTTTTCCGTCGGGTAACCTGTAAATAACAGTGTTACTTTTTTGACATGGTAAGAGCAACATTGTGTTACACTTGCTAGGACATATAGCTTTACAAAGCTGGTAATTCTCCCGATTTTTTACAAGTCCTCTCGGTCGTACGGTCGAGGTCATAAATCTTCCGGTAAGACAGCCTTAATCCTTCCCGAAACGAAAATGACTAAAAACAGCACTTTTTATACTTTTTTTTCGGCCTTGAACAACCCCGGCAACTTGCTCTACTACATCCCCTCTACTTGCTCATCTAGAGGAGAGACGGCCACTGTATGTGTGAGTGGCCTTGCTTACTGTAAAATCCCGAGCAAGCGCTCCCCTTATGGTGAAAAATAGTCTGACGAGATTTCAAAGCCGTGTATTACTATGTTGCTGTGACTCTGGGAAGCAATCAAATTGCATACTTTATTCATTGCAGCTTTCCTTCCCCAGCCGTGTTTTTCTAATCTCACAATAGGTTAGGAGCCTAGGTTACTAGGTATAGTTTTATATGGCAGATAACCTTTCATATATGTAAGGAGAAAAAGGTAGCAGTGATATGAGAGCTCATTAGTGAACGGCATTATCTATTAATCTAAATCAGTTAATATCTGGGTTTTCTGAAATTTCAGTTACTGTTCTTATTTTAAAAAGGAAAAAAAGGGTGTCTATACTTAGTCTGTATCAACTGCTACTTTTAACAATACAATTTTCTAAACCATTGTTCATTTTTGTCGTTAACATGCTTGCAACTGGTTTAGATTTGCTTTATTTATGGATGTCTTGAATATTTTTTTTTTCCTCTTCTCAGATTATGCGACATCAATCTGGCTACAGGAGAAATGAAGCAGCAGATCACACTCAAGTGAGTGTATTTATTTATTTCACTGTGTTTCTTTTGCTTTCCTCAAGCTCGATAATTTAAGATCTTCGTGATATACACTTCAACCTCGATACATCAAATCCAGATATAACTATATATTGTATATATTGGTTATGACAAAGTAAATGAGAAATATTCATGCAAAGATATAGTGTCGGGAATAACCCTTTATTACGAATTTTCTGATATAACAAACTTACTTTCGTGTAAGATGCAGTTTTGTTGTAGTGAGGTTTGAGTGTATTGATGTGACAGCCCATCGTACCAGAATTTCGATGGTGTGGAGAGTTTGTGCTGATAGGCTTGGAAGCCCATGGCCACCACACAAATAGATGGATACGGTCTTCTTGTTCTTGGGGCATCAGGAGACCCAGATATTGTATTTAGGGAGCATGAAATGTTGAATTACAAACGTAGCTTTGCATGTGCCCCAGGTATATTCAATCCTTTTGTATACAAGAACAGTTTTAAGTGCTAAAGGACTATATTTATATTGCATATGTTTACCACCTTTTTTGGTATACAGTACTCAGTAAACAGAAATCTAACAGAGTCACTGCTTACTCTTAGCAAGATTAATTTTGTGTGAGAATACTGCACCTTTTTTATCTCTTGGTAAATGGAACTCCTGTTAGATGAAACACATTTCCCATGTCACATTGGGTTTTGTTTACCGAGTCTGCTGTATCCAAAGAACTAGGGGGGGGGGGGGGGGGGGGGGTAGGTTAAAATGTTTGCTGCCACATTGCGAGTTTCAGTGCATAGGTAGGTAAAAAAATGTGGAACTCACTCAGATTCATTCAAAAAATATTCTTGAACTTTGTACTCATTTTAACTCGGACTCACCGAAATTTTTCCGAGTCAGACTCACATTCATGAAGCTGTTCTCCAGCCGGACTCGCAGTTCTATCGGTGTCCGAATGAGTCTAAATGAGTAGACTCGTGAGAGCTTTCGCCAACCTATGGGTGATGCTGGACAGAGAACAGAGAGAAACAGGCCGTTTCCTCCATCTCTTTTTCTCCCATTCAAGGCACAACAACAGGACCGGGAGGTGGCTGTCGCCGTTTAGGGCCGTGTGGGTGCCGGGCTGCGACGAGCTCTTCCTCGTCGGCAGCATGGAATACCCACGGCGCATCGAGGTCTACTCGAGCAGCGGCTCGCTCCTCTACAAGTTCATGGGCGAAGGCCTGGCCTCGGTCTGCTCGATCGTCGAGGTCCACCCCGAACGGATAGTCATCGCGGGCGGAAACTCCAGCGGCAAGCTGCATGTCCTCATCGAGCCGTAGGTCGCGAAAGCATCGCCGCTCTGAACTACAAACCGGTGCTCTAGCGTCGGCAACCCAGAAGTGCGCGTCCAGCAACGTACCCTGCCTTCGTTGCTGCCACTGCTCTTGTAATGCGACTATTGCAACAGCGGTTTATTGGTGTATATCCCGGACAGTGCAAACGAAACACTTGCAAAGCCAAAGAAGATGGCTAGTGCTGTTCTGTTTTGTTTCTGCTGTCATTTAGACCGATGTTCGAGTGTCTGTTTTCATCTCCTTCCAAGCCCGTTTTAATCACCACCTTGCCTTTTATACGATGTGAACCAAGTCATTTGTCCCTTTTTTCTTTTCTTATGCGAATGCATTTCATAGGCTATGTCACACGTTCGTCGGGATCCGTCCACCACCCTCTCCTGTAGCAACAGCTCTGGGCGCGCGCATCCCTAGCAACCGGAGCCCCCACTCCCTTGTCTTGAACGTGACTTAACACCGCCTCAATGCAGTGCATTTAAAACGCGTTTGTAGCGTTTGTGCTGCATTAAGGCGGTAGCAACATCCCCGAGGTGATCACAAACGCACGTAGGAAGCGTTTGTTGAAAGAGGCGCCCCAAAGGGCGACACTCGAGCACATCATTATGCCCAGCGAGGGTTTCATTTTTTTAACCGTGCACACTAGGTACTAGAGTTGGAAACGCATACTGTGTTTCTGGCCACAGAAAAATGCCTTGTGCGGTGAACGACACTATTTGCTGCACGGTGTAAAAAGAAAAAAAGAAAGAAAATATTATTCTTCTAACACTGGTTCTCGCATGCGAAACGCCATTGTAGGCGTCACACAATGCATTCGCATTTCTTCACGATTCTCTTCAAGGAGGTGGGAGCAGCTTTTTTTTTTTAACCAGCTTTGTTGCTGCTGCAGTGGACCAAATCAGGTTCTTTAGCTTGCTAGTGAAGATCACAGACGAGTCCAGAACACACACAAAAATTTTCCGGCAGCGTGCATAGGCTGCTGCTAGAAATTCTGTACTGGATTCTTGAATGGCTGCTGTATATATGAAAGTGAGGCTGAGCACAGTTTTAACTATTTTATGCATTTTTATTTTGAAATTTTTATGCGTTGAATTCCCACAGTAAAAGCGTCTAGTCTAGACGCATCTTGTAAAGTGTTTCTCTCTCTGTTGCGAGACACATGACAAGACGAAAGTGCTGCGAACAGAAATACTTGCAGTGTATGATAGATGCTTTTTATTGTATAAAATGACCCTGCTCAAGGCTTTGAGAGAGCAAGTAAATATGTTGCCAGTAGATAAAAGAACTCGCTGTCTTTCTCTCTGCACTTCAAGAGAAGAAAAAAAAACTAGGTTTGGCAGGAAAAGAAGTACATCTGGCACTTTTATCACTAGTACTCTTATCACTTCCACTAAGGCAGCACCAAGAAAATAAACTATATATATTAAATACTGAAGCCAAAGCATAATGTCCCTAGAAAAAGAAAGTTGACTAGGTTGTCGTCCACCATGAAACAAAGCAGGACTGATTGAACCATGCAGTGCGATGTGCTCGTGAAAGTTGCATCACATGTAGCATTTTAAAAAATTGCACACCCACTGCAGCTCGATAACTATTAGCACAGCACAGCAGCAGCAGGCCGCAATGGCAAGCCAGTCGTCTCTACTAGAACGTAGATGTTCGTTTAAGGTGCATCACCTTCTCAACTTAAAAGACGTTAAAAAATTGCACTTGTGCTATGGAGCAGCCTGGTGGCTTAAGCTCGCGTGTTGGCCTTTGCAACTTCTGGCAGAAGTTTGACTGGCGAATATAAACAAGCTAAAATGTCCAGCACTTTTTCATACTAATTATGCATGTCCTAATTGCTCTTTTTTTTAGTGCAAATTCCTTTGTTAACCATTTAAACCTCAATAAAGCTGTGGAAATGGCATTCAAGACTGTCCACTGCATGCCCTCTTTTTTTCTTCCAACACACTGATTGGTGCTGACACACTATTTCGCTCTACCTGCCTATCGCTCCAAATTTGGTGTCGAGAAGTGGTGAGCTTTGCCGAGCTACTTCACAGTGTCTTGTTCAAAAGTCACGGCAGCCGACGCGCAACTCCAGAGACCGTTACGAAACGTGGCCTTTCAGGACATTGCATTGAGTCCCCGAGAAAACTTGTGCTTTTCCTTGAATTGCAGGCCGTTCTCGCCGTTGGCGCACAAGGGCCTCAGCAAAGTGAAGTCGGCCTGGTCATCGCCGTCGTCGAGGTTCGCCAGCTGGTACAGCGAGCGATCTGGCTCGTTAGTGGGTGCGTACTTTTCACCCCTCTTCGCTGCCGTGAGCCAGAGGGCGCCGAAGTTAAGACAACACAGCGTGACGACGCTAACGTTGACGTACACCAGAACTGCCGGTTCACGCTCGATAAAGCGACTGGCAAGGAATGGCAACGCCATCTCCCCGAACGCCGCCCCGAGTAAAACAACCGACGCAGTGCGGTTCGTGACACGGATGTGTCGTTCGAGCCAGGCAAGTGACGTCGGCAGGACAGAAGCCATGCCAACGCCCAACACGCCGACGCCCGTCCAAAGCAGGGACTCCATCCTGTCGGCTCCGGCGACGAGCAGAACAGACGCGAGGAAGCAGATGCCGAGATCGCCGAGAAGCATGTTCCGGCACGACACTTTGATCGCGATGGGGATCGCAAGAAAACGCGCAGCCGCAAAGCTGCCCCAGAAGACGTAGGTCAAGGTGTAGCCATGAGGGTGGGCCGCATATATTCGTAGCAGTTCACCCACCGCAGCTTCCATTCCCATGTAGAGGAAGAAGAAGAGGGAACTAAGAAGGACCAGGCTGTGCTTGCCTGAAGGCCCAGGTGCCTTGATGTCTTCTTCTTGACGCGACCGTGAATCACGCGGACTTGTGCACAGGAACGCAAGAAACACCACTGACACAACGAAGAGGTACGCCCCGAGGATGGCATAGACAAACTCCAGTTTTCCGATCCTGTTCTCCATGAACTTCTGAGTAATCCACGAGGTTAGGCCCGTTTCAGCTGTTGGTGATGCCTTTTCAAGTAGGGTCGTCTTAGTGGTGAGCGACTGTGGTTTCACGCCCGAGCTGCTTTCATTTGACACGTTTGCTGCTCCTATAACTGTCGACAGCACGGGCTTGGGTCGAGCCGTCACTGGCTCGGGTGTTTGATCAGCCAGGCTTGGTTGTTTCGGGGGTTCTTTCGGTGTTTTGGCATCCAAGTACTTTGTTTCTGTTCCATTACCTTGCGCTGGCAGTTGGTCCTTTGCTGGTACGGTTGCAACAGTTGCTTTGGGAGGGTCAAAACTTTGTACAGTCGCTCTTATAATAGCATGCACTATAGTTGTAGCTTTTATGGCAACTGGGTCTTCAGAGACATGGTCGGGCCGTTCCGTAGACATCACCTGTTGCGTGATTGGAACTGTCACGGGTTCTGCATCGGGTTCGAGGGTTGTGGTAGCAGTGATTTTCTTCGTTTTTGCCGCTGTTTGGCTGGCGCTTCCTTCACTGACAGCCGGATGCATTGTCGTGCCTTTGTTAGCAGCCGTGGGTCGTGGCACTGGCACTATTGGACTTGCTGTAATACTGTGGTCTTGCAATGCACCTTCTGTAGCATTGTTAACAGAGTTGTTCATAGCTTCTTTCTCATGCGAAGTGCCTTCTTTTCCAGTTTTACTGGAATTGTTTGACTCCTGTATTGCTTGTGTGGCATTTCCTTTTGGACCTTTGGTCTCGTTAACCTTATTCGGTACTGATGCAGGTGGTGCCAGTATGCCCGCAGCTGCCGGGTTTGATAGGTTTTTGGAGGGTGCGACAGTGCTGACAGTCAAGTTCAATTTTGGTGAAGTCGCATTAGTGTGTACAGACGAGTTGGTTGAATTAGGAGCAGCTGTGACAGCACCCTTGGTTGTCTTTTGGGATTTGCGGTCCCATTTGCTTCCTTTGTTTGGTCCTTCGGCATAGATTGGTTTGGTTGGCTTCTTGGCTGCCATCGTAGTACTCGGGGCCACAGTTGTAGTTGGCAGCCGATCCTTTTTAGTTTTTTCTATTTTTGATGTGTCATTGGACTCTGCATCAGTTAAATTCACTGGCGCTTGCAGCGCTGTTTGATCTATCATGCTGCTCTCATTGTGCGATGGGCTTTCATTCGCTGCGGTTTCATTGTACTCTGTACTTTCGTTATGAACTGTGCCCTTGCTGTACATTGTTGATGTATTCCGAAAGGAGGAGGACGGCTGAGAGTCGGTGTTTAGAAGTTGTTCATTAACGCTTCGCGGGTGTCGCGAGAGGCCCACTGTGGGCGGCGAGTCCATCCACTTTGGTGTAACATGCGAATGATGTCGGCCGACCAAAATGCCGTGGTGTATTCCGATCGGGGGGATGTGAGCGTAGATTCCGGGTGCCAGAGAGGTGTTCGATAAGCTGTGCATTGGTGCAATTCCACTGAGCGAGGCAGGCGAGAGGAATGGCTCGGCAATCAGTGGTGCCACGAGGGCTCCGAGGGCGAAGCAGAAGTGGAGTGCCTGCATCAGGGGAGCACTGTGACGGCCCCACAGGTCTAGGCACCAGACGTTGCCACCTGCAATAAACAAGTGCAAAAGCATGTTTTTAGCGGTGCAGCCTTCACTCAGTGATCCTCTTGGCCTGCCAAGTATCATCAGTATAAAGTGCCTGTCCTGTACATTCCTCTCAACCATAAGCCTCAGAGCATCAGCAGTTAGAACACAGTTAGTAGTTTTAAATACATATTCAGAAGTTATGCTAAGTTTCTGTGTAGTTTTTACAAATTTCAAGAAGCAGAATTAGTGTTAGATCTAACAGGGCAAGAGCTTCAAGCTGAACACCAATGCAGTTTTGCAACCAGTAAAACCACACAATTTAATATTAGCAGGTCCCACAGCCTGCTAATTTTCAATATTAAACGTTGATCTGTGACACCAGCTCTGTTCATAGACTTAATTGGTTATGTTAGTTGAGACTCTATGAGGACAACGGGATGCCCGTCTGATTCCTTTGTGTTCCACATGCACAGTACATATGCAGTACTCTGTGTATGCGGACACAACAGCACAGTCGTACCCACCTGGTTCACCACTGCTATTACACTTTTAATTAAAGGAACTGCAAGGGCCCGCCGCGGTGGTTTAGTGGCTAAGGTACTCGGCTGCTGACCCGCAGGTCGCGGGATCAAATCCCGGCTGCGGCGGCTGCATTTCCGAAGGAGGCGAAAATGCTGTAGGCCCGTGTGCTCAGATTTGGGTGCATGTTAAAGAACCCCAGGTGGTCGAAATTTTTGGAGCCTTCCACTACGAAGTCTCCCAAAATCATATGGTGGTTTTGGGACGTTAAACCCCACATATCAATCAGAGAAATTGCAAGTACTTATTATTTTCTCTACAATTTCAGAGCTGTGTGCTGTGAATTTTCCCATTGTATATTTTATAGTTTCTTACATTTAGCTTCAACTTCGATAGCTCACACATATATTGCGTGATAGCTTTAGGTTCAAATGTATAGCTTGAACTTTCTTTCATCTTCCTAAGTGGTTAAAAAGCGAAATTGTTTTGCAGTTATAATTAACTAATAGTTTTCAAAAGCAAGCTGTAGAATTTACAGTGAAAAACGACTGTGCAGAAGAAGTCTTATCCTCACAGCACATTTACCTGTGTCTAGAAATCCCATGGTAATGCCAGTAATGGCCGAGCAAGCCATCAGGGTTGCTAGCTGGACGCAGAAGGGCATCACTATGATGCCAATGGACGTGGCGAAAATGCTGAGGAAAAGCAGGAACTGTCGGTTGTACCAGTCGAAGAGAAAGCCACCTACACAGTGGAAACAAATCAGGAAATGCATTATTTGCTCCAGTAAGTTAAGGTAAATGTGAAAATTTTTTTCCAAGATGGACCGGGTTTCAAGGACAATATGCCTGAAAAAAGACAGCAGCGTATCTAAACGCTGCCATTTATTCCAACAAAAGCTAACAAGATTCCATGCTACTCTAAGTCCTTCATTTTGCTCTTCCAGCATGTGTTATGTTTACTGTTATTAACAGTAAGAATGATCACTCTTTTGTGTTCAATGTAAGAGTTTACTGTATGCAACTCAAAGCATCATGGACATCTTGCACTGAAGGCTGTTCAAATGTTCACCTCATGTGTTGTTGACCATACAAGCAGCAAAAGAGACTTCTGTTCATTCAACTTTGAACCTAAAGGGGCCCCACAACACTTTCCCAAGTAATCACCTAATTAGCTTCATTAAGAGAGCTTATTGCCTGATGAATCGACTGCAGCCAAAATTTTTAGAATCCATCAAGTATGGTCAGAGTTGCAAGAATTTGCCACTTCCTTTAAGCGCTTTCTTTTTTCCTACTAGCCAGTGTGCTGAAAGCTAAGCAGGGAGGGGGGTGACAAGGGGACAAGAAGATGCACCTCCGTAAGCACACGTCATGACTGAGCACTTTGCTGTCATTTTTCTTCTAACGGGCTGCTTACTTTCAGTGTGATCACAAGCGCGTGCGGGGGCGTGTGGCAGCTTCTTGCGGTAGCCACGGTATCTATGCAGCTCATGATGCTGAAATCAGCCAGCGCTCGTGGGCTTGGTTATACGGCGCAGTGATTTGAGTATCTGGCATCATTTGTCAAGAGAAGAGGCAGCAATTTTTAGCTGTATTTGAGAATTGACTGTAAATTCCAGGTTGCATGCTACGCTACAATGTTGTGCTCGCGTGTTCTAAGGAGCCCCAACTACCCATAGGTAGCATTTAATCACCGCACTCTAATAATGCTGCAGGGTCATGTGAAGTGCTATCACAGTTGCGCATTGCAATTCTCAAATATCCTGAAATTCACATTGTTTTCAAACTATCAATGAATGAAAATCGCATGACCGTGGCTGTGACAATATTTCAAAACTGAATATGACGTAAACTTAATCCTGAGGTCAAAGATGGAAAAACATTGTATTTATTACAAGGTGTTGTGTGTTGGATGTCTCACACCAGCGAACACATTCAACAAGAAACTATGAAGTCTTCTACAGCATTACTTTTACAGTAAGTTACCAAGTGCACTTGCGAAATATGTGATACAGACAAGAGTTCTCATTGCCACATGTTTCCCAATTTAACAAAGATGTCCATGAAAGTTATCCATTGTGGGCACAGCCCTGAGCCATTCAAACAGCTGGCACTGTTGGTCGCGAACAAGTGCAGTCAACTATTTCATTTCAACAATGTTAATAATCTTCCCATGTACCACTACCCTCATGGCATCTTAGTAACACTCGACTCTATAGTTGTGGACGTTACGTTTGACATATCAAAACACACATCAGAATGTGTATTGTGGTGCCCTACTTGCAGGTTAAGATGAAGGTACCACCTACGCAAGCAGACAAGAACATAATCTTTACTGAAAATGTAGAGAATATTACTTTGACTTAGCTAGTCATTAGCTTTACTCTGGTGCTATAAACTGTCTCAACAGCAAGGTTGGCGACTTTGTAACATGCAATATAAAAGAAGACTCTTGTTTTCTTATTTAGGTTCATTTACATATGAAGACCAAACAAAATTACCAGATTGATCGTGTTTATATAACAATGATGTTATAACTGAACGAGGCATCGCGAATATTTGTGATGATGGAGGTGGACAGTGTAATACAACTTCAAGGGGGCCTTGTGGCAGCTAGTCTATCACTTTTACCTTTCTTACTACAGGTCTCTACTTGGGCTGAGAGAGCCCTATACACACATGAAAGCAGGAACACAATGGTAAAACACGTCTGCTGTGGCAAACTTGTCATATGAGACAGTGTGCCTGGACTTAATGACTCATTAGCCACAAAAGAGTGTTGATAAATTACCTATGAGGCAGCCAAATATGTAGCCACCGTAGCGGGCTGTGTAAAAGTGTTGTATGTCGGCCTCGGCATTTGTTCTCTTCTGAAGGTCCTGGATCGTTGCTGTTGGTATGGCGAAGCAAAGGCCCTGCAAATGTAAAGAAGCTTGCTTAAGTCGTACTTATCCATCGTGTTGTTTGGTTAAAGCTCCAGGACATCACTGTGTCAACGGAGAGCCTTCCCAGTGCAACCTTAGAAACAATGCAACCTTAGGAAATTTGAAACTATGGTTTAATAAAAACACAAATCTTTAAACTGTGACTAACCTGCTATGGTCCTCAATTGCAAAATATAGGGTTCCCTTTATGAGCAAAAGTGATGCCATAACATCGCTATAAATGACTAGGTTAACTGAAAACATGGCTGACTCAGAATACGTGCCCTGGCAGACAAATAGCCCTTGGCGTGTTTACTACTTCTCGCATTATTGATAGCTTGCACATACATTGCATTTTTGCCTCCATCAAAAATGCTTAAGGCCTCTGTACTTGGATGTAGGTGCACGTAAAAGAACCTTGCGTTACTGAAGCTTCTGGAGCGTCCGCTATGGCTTCTCTCATAATCATGAGGTTTTCGGGACAGTAAACCCTAATAATTATTATTATCACATTATAAGCTCATGACATTGTGGACGCACAACATAGTGACTTAGCCGAGGTCAAGGCGGTTGCACGGGGGAGGGGCTTCTAAGATGGCGCCAGCGTAGGAATGGCAACGCATCTATTTCGGTAATTTCCGTGTAGGCACTCAACCACATTCTACCCGTACACACTGCAGACTTGTGCGCACTGTATCTAGTTGCCGCTTGCCATTCCGACAGAACCGATGAAGCATGCCACCACGGACCACAAAGAATGGCGGCAGAAGCTGCCTGCGCACCAAGCGGATGATGTCACTTGCAACCCTCCAAATATCCCACAGCGATTAACCCTCTTCAGTGTGATAATGATGTCACTGTAAAATTACTGTGCCTCTTTGCATGAATATATAGGACTAGCATGCGATGTACTGATAACACGTGTGTGACATCAACAAAGTTCGCATTCCACTTTGTTGGCGCTTCGATGTGGCTGTTTTAGTGATGTCGGTGCAAGTTATGTATAAAGGTTTTCACCAGAACAATAATGAAAGGCAACGAGTAACTTTCTCTTGGTTCTTTAAATCCAAGTCTGCGTAAATTTTCAAAAAATGAAAGTTATTCTGTATTATTGTGGTCGTACTGCGACTTGCAGAATCGCAAGTAAACATTGTAGAGGGTGGGCACTCCAATTGTAAAGCAAACTTCCATGGCATGTGGAGAGCTCATTGACTACAAAAACCTCTCCAATGATAACGTTAGATAAGTTGGGATGTGTCAGACGTTAATAAACAAGCCAACATTGCACTACAATTGAGACATATTCATCTCTCCCTTAATTTTGCGTACAAAATGCGGTAAATATAGGTTATTATGAATTACTGTACTATGCTTGTGAAAACGGTGACGGGTGTGGTGGATCCGTTTTCCACTTCCCAAGAGTTCTACCTACCATCTCTCCCAGAAAGGGCACGTATGTTTTTATTCTATAGAACTGCGCGACTTATAGCAAGAACACGGGATAAACTCTTCGAGCACCCCCGTGTTTCTCTAACATTTTTCAGTATCGCGGTTAATGACCGCATTTTTGTGGGACACGGACGTAAGATTCCAAGTACTTATTTCACTATATCGCTGTGCCCTACACAAACTGTGCGGCGGCCGCCAGATAAGAACCACACAATGGAATACGCCGCCCTTATTGTTCTTTTTCCTACAGTTGCACCCACGTTCATGCGACCGCAACGGTAATTCTTTTTTTCTCCACACGAGTCGCGTTGCTACAGCACCTGAGCTTTACGGCTACAGTTGCTATTCCGACTGTGCAAACGCCGACACACTCACCAGGCCGAAGAAAGAGAGACAGAGATTGACAGTCCGCGCAACTGTCAGGCGGCCGCCCGAGTTGACGGCGTGGTTTCTGGACACCACGCCGTGGCGGGAGGAGAGCTTGTTTGTAAGCAGTCCCGTCTGATCGAATACCAGTTCTTCCTCGTCGTCGCTGCGTTGGAAGGAGTCCCGCGTAGAGGCCATCATTTTTTGTTTGCCGTTCGCGAGAATTAGCTGTCCGCGAGCCACCACAAATGGACGTTGGAACGCCTTTCTCACATCGTAATAGCCGCGGCGGGCACTAGCGAGGCGCTCGATCAGCGGCTCGTGTGTTTACGCGCCGCGCAGGCCCATTCGTGACGCAGTAAACGCGGCGTGATTGACGTTGAGCATCGTCGTAAAGATGCGGCACCGCCAAGGGCGAAGCTGCTCCGCCGTACGCCCGTACACGCGCACACAACTTCCACTGGGATCGGGGTCGTCGGACCACAGGGGCTGCCACACACGAGTAGGAAACGAGGAAATCTGCACGTAACACTCGTCCGCTGACGGAAGTAAATCGATGACGCACACGTAGTGATTAGGTTAAGACGCTACACACGTCGTCATGTCGTAGATAAAACGCAGAAAATCCGCAGTGAGCTGCCAAATCTCGGGCTATCTCTCTCGCTCTTCCTTACTGTTTTTCTCTCTCGCTGTTGTTATGCATGGTTGCTCGACTTCATGCCGCTTGCTTCCAGATTAGGCGGGCAGCAGTGAAAAAACAAAAAGATGCAGTAAACGTAGTTGACGTTTCTCTCGGCATTATTTAGGTCGCTCGTATATTACGCTTGCAACCGAGCCCAAGCGAACTGTACAGTGACTGCGGTAATGCGAGGTCTCCTAATTAGAGGCGACGCTCCAGCAGCTGTGCCCCTCAAGGCCTTCGGGTGGGACAGATGCACGTGCTGATGTGATCTTTTGTTGTTTCCGCGATTTCGGTCTATCATCAGCAGACGCCTTTGTAGTTGTACTAAATAAATGTGTATGAAAGCTACATTTATGAGAAAACTAAACCCTTTGCCCTCATACCACGCCCTTTTTAGCGACGCAGCTGTCGGAATGTCAGAATATGATGTATTTAGAAAGTTTCGTTAAAGGTACGTTGGTTTGCCCCTAATGAAATTAATTTTTATCTCTAAATATAAAGTGCACGATCCAACGTGAGAAGAATTAGAGGCAATAGTTCTTGAATAGTTGAGTTTTTTAGAAAACAGCGGGAAGAAAAAAATGACATGGACAAGGGGAGACAGAACAAAAGCGCTGTTTTCAAGTTGTTCAAGAGGTATGACCAAATATTCAAGAACTTTTACCTAGTACCACGTTGGATCGCGAGGCTGTCACTTCTTTTTTTCACCGTTGCGGTGTGTCCTTTAATCTCCTCGATTGTATCATTTTTTACTCCGCTTTCAAGATTTTCTACGTGGATATTGTCATATATCTGTTTGATTCCGAGTCCTTCATTCATTTCGAAGCACGATTGGGCAGGCACGACCGCGAACAATTGGTCCTTCGCTGAGGCCGCGTCGTGCACGGAGCTGTAATTGCGTGAGGTCACGATCAGGGCTGATATACGCGCGGCTTCCCTGCAGGCTGTGCCCCCGACACGAAGATTGAATTTAGTCTGGCCTTTGTCTCGGGGCGCGGGTTGCAAATCACGCTGTTTTTCTCTGGTCTCCCTCTTGGCCGTGCGTAAGCTGTGAGTACTTCTTGCCTTGTATGCATGCATATCACACACACATATATATATACCCAAAGAGAGAATGCGCGCTTTGCGGATTACTTGCCTGTTCCCTAACCATGAGTAATCGTTCTTCCTGGTATTTCTTTTGAGCAATCCTGTCTTGAAAGAGTGCATGCTGATAGGTTCCCCAAGAACGTACACGTTCCGACAAGAAGGTGATTATAAGTTATTATTTTTCGGGCATGGGTATTAAAAATAAAAATGAAAACACCTATACAGTTTGACTTACTGAATCGCACACTAGCCAGTGTGCTTCATTTCTTTTCCCCAGTTATTTTTCTTCAAGTCTTTTTGGTGTCACACAAGCGGCCACGCTAACGCACAGGTGCCGGTTATGCTGTCCGAGTGCAATAGAAAAAAATTAAAAAATTCCGTTAGTTTCTTTTGTTTGTTTGTTTCAGTGCTTCTTGTCTTGCTACGTGCATGGTAGGAAGACGGGGGGGGGGGGGGGGGGCAGAGAAGCATATCGCGACTCCAGCAATTTATGCGGCAATATAGGGAAGCTGCGTACTGAGGTCCAAACAGTCCAAGTGCCAGTCTTATACGGAAGGAGCACGGTAGGATGGTGCCCCCTGTGAAGAAAAAAAAAAACTAATGGCCAAGCAGATTTCTTCTTTCCAGGTGAAGCACCAGTGTTAACTTGTTAACTCTAATGTACTAAATGAACATTGTATCCAGTGACCACATGTAGCTGCGACGCCCGAAGTACGTAAACAAATTTCGCAGAGACGCGGTGCACAATGTGCATTTTACACACGCAACGCGACTACTTCAAGAACGCCGCTCGCGCTTGTGGGACCACTGATGCCGACGAAAATAAGATGCTCAGCGTCAACAACCCGTCCCCCTTCTACAAAACAGCGCAAACTGCAATTACACTGCAGAAAACTCAATATTTGTGTTAGCGACAGCATGCTGCAACTCAGCAGCATGGCGAAGGATATGCTGCGGAGGACATGCGCCACAGATTTATGCGCGACTTATCAGGAACTGTAGTCATCATTATGCTAATTGGGTAAATGTCTAAATCTACACACAACAAGAGGAACAAGGTGAGCCCAACAAATGGCATGCGCGTTACCATAGTGATACCATGTAACGTTAAAACAAAGTGCGTTTAATAAAAAGTAGTAATACAACAAATCCGAAAGACTTGCAAAACATAGATATGCGACAGCCTGATGAACGGAAGGCGACAAGCTTCGGATGTTTCACCAGTGTCCGCGAATCAAAGCTGGATTGTTCTTCATGGTTTGTGCGTGCCTTTGTATGTGCGCGCGCTTATGTGGGGTGACACCAGCGCAAGGCGCGTGGTAAACGAAAACACGCAAACAATGGCGATGTGCACGTGCGTATTCTTTTGCGCGCTTTTAAGGGTGTAATTTAGAAACTTACGCCATAATGGGTGCAGGAAGTGAACATTGCACCTTTGGATTGGTCAGCGTATACGTTCTGATGTATCAGACACGCGCTTTTTCGACAACTTCAATATGATAGTTCGACTGCTGAGGTGTACAGCAGCGGTCACGTTTGTGTAGAGCATGCGAGAAGCAGTTTTGTTTTTCTTTGTCTTGCTCAGCGGGGTGAAATCTCGAGGCAGTATCGGGCTCTGACGAGGTCAGCCTCGCAGCTAGGCCTCGCATGCTCCTGATACACCACTTCAGAGCACGAAACTGCCTCAAGATTTCACCCCGCAGAGCGAAAACCGGCTTCTCGCGTGCTTTACACAGACCTGGCCGCTGCTGTCCTCGGCCACGGTATGCTTAGATTTTCGTTGAGTAAAGAGCTCACAAGAAACGGAAAAGATGCTTCAGTTCGTGCAAACCACGGAGTTCTTTCCTTCTTCCCTAGTTCAAATTCGAATTAGAGTGCGATTTCAGCTACCCTATCAAGACCAAACTGATCGCGGTATCAGCCTGCAGGACTGACATACATCGCGTGACACTATTTCTTAAGGGCAAAACGAAATAAAAGCGCATAACAATGGGTGTGAACAAGTGCTGCCATCTGCCGTCGAATAAGCGAAGTGCTCAAAAAACGTATCGGGCGCCGCCGGCTTCTGCTGTTTTCGTTTTTTCTCTGTGGACTACACGGTGTTAGCGACCTCGTTGTGTTGTGCGTGGCCGCTGTTGACCAAGTTGGCAAAACGCGGGTCACTGGTGCGACGGCATCGTTGGCGTGAGGTCCGGGCAATTCTTTTCGGCACGCCGGAAGACCTCAGGCAAGTCGCCGCGTTATCGTGTTTCCGTGCCCGCGCAAGTGAAAACGTTTTGGCGGGGCACACAGGTGCTCCTTAGTCGACCAAGTCCGTTATGTGGACGATTAAAAAGAGCCACATAAAGATCGTTACGCCACGAAACGTCTGTGGATAGCAGTTCTTTTTTAATAGGTTCGACTTCGTTCATTTCGGTTGCGTGCAGTGCGCTTCCGTAGCGGTCGAGTTTCAACGCGACGTCGCAGTTGTACTTTCTCACTCCTACGTATGCAGTCTTCGAAGTAGAACCGTGACATTTGCCAGGATAGAACGTCGCAAAAAAAGCCCCGCATGACCTCGTAGCCACTAGTCTATGTAACTAACGAAATAATCGTTTTGCGTAGGAATCTTTAACTTGCTTTCGCTTTCAAGAAAACGGCTGTTTATGAGTAGAGGGAAAAAAATAAATATTCTTAAAACGCAGCCTTTCTTTTCCTCCGCACTTGTGTAGCTCGTTTTGACATGAATTCAATGCTGTAGTCCGGCGTTTCGCATGATTGATTTCAGTACCCGCAGGTGGAGTTTCAGAAAAGTTTCAAGAAAAGGCCGTCACACTGTCTGCAATTTACTTTCGACCAATACGTTCGATAAGTTTGGGTGCTTAATTGTGTAGTTGTGTAAATGAGGACAGTGTGCTATACGGGGGTCTTCAATTTAACATACGAAGCTAAAGAACAAATTGATCTGTAATGTTATCGTGGCACGTAATTCTGAGGTGTTGAAAACTGAAGCGAGGTTTAACATGGCACTTGAAGCTTCATAGCAATCCATGTGGTAAGAATACATGGCAGCCATGTCTTGACAGCTCAGTTTGTGAGACAACTGTTGTGAGGAATAAAAAATTGTGTTTGTTCTGATATGGTGTGGCATATAGCATAAACTATGACTGCAAAGAAATGCAGAGAGGAACCCTTAACATCGTATGGATTTTATTCACAAGAAACCACTTTGAAAATGGACAAAAAATATAATGTGTGCTAGTGCACATCGTGACAATGGAAACAAAGGAAGAATAGATGATAGAATTTGTATAGAAAGAAACAGAATTGCAAGAATAACACTGACTGACAATGTAACAGGCTACTTCTGAGTTTTGTGACTATACGCATGTCGATGGCTCTTTTGTGACACGGTTATTTCACTTTCTAAAAGGGACATTTAACAGGCACCCAAATCTGAGCACACGGGCCTACAACATTTCCGCCTCCATCGGAAATGCAGCCGCCGCAGCTGGGATTCTAACCCGCGACCTCCGGGTCAGCAGCCGCGTACCTTACCCACTAGACCACCGCGGCAGGGCGCTCGGCAGGTTACACCTTTCTAGTATTAACTAGGTTATAGCAGCTGATGTTTAGGACAAAATTAGAAACTGCTATATAAGGCATGTTTCCGATGTGCAGCAGAAGTGTTGGGGATATACTGGTTTGCATACTATTGAGTTCCTTAACTGTGGTGCATGAACCTTGCATATACATACTGTGCGACTGTTTTAGTGCACAGCCATTCTTCTGTGCAACTTCATTTTTTTGAATTGATGGCTAAGCTATGGTGTCTGCTTCATTATAGATCTGATAGTTTGGCCTTTAAAAAGAGGAGCATGTGTGGCCTTGACCATTTTCGTTAAAATTTGTTATTTCTCTCCATAAATGAATAGTTTTACTACGAAGGCATCTCGTTGATGCGTTTTTCACGGAAAGTGTAAAATGAAACACATTATGCAGAAAGCATATTAATCCAAGTGGTTTTCTTCATAAAAAGGAGGAAAATATCCATACACTGTCAGTAGCTCGCATCATCATTGGATATACAGCGGGCGTCCTTGGCAGTGATCTACTAGCCATGGAACTGATGCTGTTGCAGCCTCAACAGCTTTGTGACGTGCAGATTATAGTTTGTCGGAATGCGGTTTGAGCTTTTATATCGAAGGATAAGCACAGGATTTCTTGTTACATTGGCCAAGATTCACTTTTGTGGCTGAATTAACTGATTTTGGACAAAATGTCTTATTAAATGCATAAAAATGCATTATTTCTAAGGGATGTTGACCAGGAATAAAGAGAAAAAATGCATTAGGCCACAAAATGTGTTATGTAGAATATTATCAAAGAGACTCACTCCACTGTATACAAGTCATAAAGACGTCGGTTTTCTGTAGGTTGAGAGCACCCACCAGTGTCCTCTACATTCTCCATGGGTGTTGGTGATGTTGAAGACAGCAGAGATGGTGCCAGGAGAGGGAGTCACGTGTCGAGGCAGCATGCCATCGTGTACCAGCCCACGGATGCCCCGGCATGCCCGCAGTGCCGTATGCTGGATGTGCCATTCTTTGACACTGACTGCCCCAACTGTCTTAACATCCTGCACAGTGACGACACCACCGTGCCAGAGATATTTGCCATTCTTCGCCAGTGGGTTCCGCGCACCCAGAAGGACATCAAGGCACTCTGTTCTGAGGTGAGCATCAGCAACACTGTGGTGCGATGGCTGTGCAAAGTTCTTCAGTTGTACCAGTTGTGGATCTGAGTTCCGAAACCTGGACATACCCAAGGCCTATTCTGCAAAGGTATGCAAATTGTAGCGTTATCTTTGAACAACAATACAAAACACTAATCCAAGGCATTGCCCATGCTCGCACTCCTTGCAGAGTTCTCAACGATGTACGCTGTGCTGGCAACCCCATGAATGTTCATTAGTTTTTCGGTCTGCAGATGATACCACAATCGGCATACCCTTGCAAATTTGGCCACTAAGAAATTTTGCAACTCGTTACGTCAGATAAGCTCGTTCCGATTGGCAGTTATGCCTCTTTTTGTTGCTTTTATTTTTCTTCATGCAAGAAATGCTCTCCGCCGTATTGTCACTATGAAATGTATCGTTTTGAAATTTATGCACGTGAAGACTGTGCCTTGTAACCTCTCCCTTTCTGGGGCCTATGAAATGCACCCTTTCATTCACTTTTCTCATGCGTGCATCTTCTTTACAGTACATATTGTACTTTAATGCTTTCTGTTCAACTTATTATTCTGCAATTATTTCCTTCCTTTTATATTTCTTAAATGTTATATGTATATGTACATATATTTTGTGTGTTGCTGCCTTACTCAATGTCCCCCATGGGACCTGTAAAGTACCTTGAAATAAAATAAATAAAAAAATAGAAGTATGATTGAAGCATTCCAGTGGCTTTGTTCATTGCAAAATGGTTCCTAGACATGACCTAATTTGTGTAATTAGAGCAATCGGTGAATGTTTTTTTGAGAACCTCCTTTCTAGTGAGCACTGTTGCTAAGTGTCGTCATTCCTGGCCTTTTTCATAGTGGTAATGTGTACGATCAACGTCAACAGTTTACGGCCCAAGAGACACGAAAAAAGGCTGATAATTCCCGCTGCTTTGGCAGAGAGCTTTGAACCAGTACTTTCAAATGTAAGGTCACACTAAGTGAAGTGTTATTTCAGGAGGCATTTCACACAATTACATTTTTGTTTCTGGTATGTGGCATATGTCTTGGTTGCAAGTCTAAGCTGAATGCCGTGGCCGCTATTAATTCAGGCCACTTGTTCAGAATTTCGAGTTCAGATATGGGATGTTTTTCGTGTAATAATTGCCATTTTCTGTAACAAAGCCGTGCTGCTATGTTATGTCAAATTACGCGCTGCGTACCTGTACCTGACTTGTATGTATGGAGTGACATTTTTCCATCTCTTGACTATCAAGAGATCAGTCTCTCGAGCCTTTCTAGCCAACTTAGCTCAGCCTGGTCAACCTCCAAGCTATTTCACTATCGATGCCCCCCTCTCCCACCATAAATTGCCCTCTGTGCTCTCGTCCTGTCTTTTAAAAGGCAGCAACTCTGTTATGGTGCAGATTTTGAAACGAGGCGCTCACGTCAATGATCGTGATGGCCTGACGGACATGACGCTTCTGCACTACGCCTGCAAGTCTGGCGCCACTGGTGTTGGCGACTTGATGAGCTCGACGCAAACTGTGGGAATTCTGTTGGACTACGGTGCGGACCCCACGTTGCGCTGTCGTTGGACCGACATGGCCCCGATTCACTATGCTGCGTACTTTGACGTTCCTCCTGTGATCGAGTTGCTGCTAAAGGCTACTAAGAGATCAGGTAAGTAACAAAAGGATGAAATCTGGCAAGAAATTTTTCGATAAGCGAGAAAACTTGGAGGGGGGGCCACTGGCTTGTGAGTAAAGCAATGCATAGAAAACAAGGATAGAAGATGATGCGCAAGTTAAAAAAAATAAAACTAATTCAAATCTATTGTGCATTAATTTTTTTCAAAACACGTTATTTGATGGTCCCTAATATCACAACACAACGCTTTTTGTAGGGTTTCAGCAGTGCTGATATTTGATACATGTAAAGTGGATACACGTAGATGTTCAGAGAATGCCAGCAGAGGATCGATACTGGACAAACCGAAGAGAGAAATTCAGCTAATTACCTCTTCATTGAATGTTCATTTTATTTCTTCTATTTTATCTCTTTTGCTGCCATTCTCTCAGTATATTTATTTTCCACAGATGGCTATATACTTATATTTTCCACAGATATTTATTTTGCACAGATTTATTTTCCACGAATGAGCTTCTAGGAGATTAAATTAGTGTTGAACAATAGACGTCATGCCAGGTCATTGGCATGCAGTGCCATTTAGTAAGCATTGCTTTCCTTGAGCCAAATAAACCTGATTGACAAACAGAAACACACTGAGCTAGCCTATTAGTCCAATTACTGGCATAAAAATACTCGTGATTAGAACACTTCATTTACTGCTCTGAAAAGCCAGCCAATGATGGCGGGGGCGTACCAGCAACTGGCCCGCTGTGTAAAAAAAAAAAAAATCGGTTGAACTGGTCTAAAACCGAACTGGTGGCCACCCTAGCACCAACTAGCTCACCTTTTCCCCTCATTCAAGGGGAGCATATACAGATCAATTCTCTGATACGACGAACTATTTAGGGAGTATTATCTTATTTTAGGAGTGGCTTGTTGGACTAGTTTAAACGTTTAAAGGTTCAGAGAATTCCAGCAGAGGATTGAAACCAGAGGAACCAAAGAGAGAAATTCAGCCAATTACCTCTGTATTGAATGTTCATTTGATTTCTTCTTTATCTCTTTTGCTGCCATTCTCTCAGTATATTTATATTCCACAGATGGCATCGCATCCCTGTTATAGCTGAATCGTCAAGCTTATCGCCTGTAAATGACCTGCTGTTACTTGAAAGATGGTTGTTAGGAAGAATCTGTCATCCGTACTGCAATTGTGGGGAAGTTTCACCGGGTTCGACGCCATGCTTTTCAAGTTTTGGCCAAAGGTGTGCGTCCACTTAACCACTGCTGTGTTAGTTAGCAGGGTCTTAGGTGAATGTGCTTTTAACCATGCAGGAATGAAATGGACACACTACAAACACAGATAAATAACGTTATTTTACAGAATGCTGCTAACTTTCACTTTCGTAACCCGTTTTCCAAAAAGAAAAAACTGTCGCAAATTCAGTTCGTCTCTGTGTACGGTTAAAAGCGCATTTACCGAAGATACAACACCAACTAGCCCCAGTAGCTGATCTTATTGATTAGCAGGGTGTTTCCATGCCCTTCAAGACATTCCAAATATACTTGACTTTCAGACATTGACAGCCCCTGCCAGGTGTTTGATGGTGGCACACCACTCCACATAGCAGCGGCTACTCTCTGCTTCGGAGCCGCTCAGACCCTCGTGGACTGTGGTGCCAGTCTGACCAGCCTGGACAGCTTGGGGAGGATTCCCTTTGGTGAGTACGAAGCTTGTGGCCTCTCATTTTCAGTAGCTTGCTCGCCAAGCACTTTATGCTCTGGGCAAGTTCCTTGGTGTGTCCCCTAGTTCTCGAGGCGACCGCTAGAGCCCACTGTAACTTTCATGAAGTAGGAAAGCACCCACTGTATTATTCATCATTTTGCTGATGAGCGAGGTAGCCGCCACGCATCTGAAAGGCATTTGGGCACCTTGTGCTCCGTCCAAAGAAGACTCGTTGACAGATGGACCCCTAAGGAAGAGCCCGCGATGCAGAGGCGGCACTCAAACGGCGGCAAGAGAACCTCGAATCGGGACCTTTATCGACATCACCTTCTCCAGCTTTCAACTGTAACCTCTTAATTCAAGGTCCTCTCACCACATACTTCACCGACCACAAAACTGTAGTTTTCAAAGGCAAGCGTGTCCCACACCTTTGTAATCAGTAATGAAACATTGTGATAATAAAAAATGTAATGAAACATTGTAAATAATAAAACATTGTGTATATAGGTATATATACCATCACGCCTGCAACAATGTGTCGCGTCTTTATAGGATGGTAGAGGACTTACACAGAGGATTCATGGTTTCTCCTGATCAGTTCCAAGCAAACTCCTCCATCAGCATCCACTTCGTAGAGATGGCGGGATTTTCGTCTTACTGAGACAGCATGTTTTTGTCATTGTCATGCTCTTTGAAAGATAGTCCAAATGAAAGAGGAATCAAGGCCTGCGCTGCTGTGCTGCAGGTGCTAAAGCCTGAACCAGTGGTGTAGCGAGAAGGTGACAAAAAAAGCCCTTGCCCCTTTCTCCCACTGAAATTTTTTTTACTAATGGAATACAGAGCACAAAATGACACGCGACTTCAACCATGAACATGAATCTTGGCTTGATGAAAAAAATTTTTGCCTTAAAAAAATTCAGAGGTCTTTACTTTTTGTGAATTATTTGAATTGTCTTTTGACTAAGTCCTGCAAAAACAAAAAAACCTATTGGAGACCTAATGGTCTGAAAGTTCATCCTGTACCAAGAGTGAGTAACACGAGTTTACAATATTCTGTTATCATTTACTTTTGTGGCCCGTATTTCAAGAAAAAAATAAATCGCAAGTATAGCATATTGTTCTGTAATGCCCTAATTTCAGATTTTTTTTGCTCTGGTGGTAAGTTGGTATCTCGAAAATTTTCCAGTGTTGGGACACAATTTGGCTTAACAATTGGGCCAAATATAATTGTTCAATATGATGTAAAACACAAACCAAAAATGCCTCAGCAAGAACTTGTCTTTAAAAATTCACTATTATAAAAATCAATTTAAAAAAAAATCACCATTCAGACACTCTGTCCAGGTGTTCAGGGGTGCAACAGCTGTGCCGATTGCGCTGATTTGATGCACTTTCCTATTTTTGCACCAAGCTGCGCCAAAACCATGAAATTTGCTGAAATTGTGCCACGCTGCACCTAAATGCCCAACCTGCCTGAAAATTTTCTCAGTTGTGCTAATTTCAGCCAGAAATGAAGGCCATGTACGTTGCCCACCTGCAGTTTGAGTTTTAAGTCAATCCAAGTGCACAGATTCTAACCTTAAACCACGGTAACCTACACACGCTAACCTTAATTCCATTAGGTTAGGGCACTTGCGAGCAGCTATTTTCCAGATGAAGTAACAAAGCCGTGCGTGCACCCATCGGTCCACTGACCGCAACGGATACCTATCAGTGGGACGACGCAACTTCAAGACAAGAATGCATTGCCGTAGCCACGAACGCTTTGCGCGAATTATGAACTTCCTAGCCAGCAAAGAGGCTATGGCATGTTAGCAACTAGAGCTGGAAGCGCATACCGCGTTTTCCGTGCGCGAACAGACTTGACGTGCAGCAAATGCCAGCATTGCTGGGGACCACGTTGGTCCCCATAGCAACAGCACATAAAACATTTTTCTGCCTGGAAGTTGCGTTAGTTGCGTCGTCCCGGTGATAGATATCCGAAGTGCTATTGCAGGACCAATGGACAGGCTCCACTGTTACTTTATCTGGTAGAACGAGCCCTGCAAGCGAGCCGAAATGTTGTGCCCTAAACCTAACACTCATCGTAAAAAAAAAGAGGACAGAACACTGCTTAAACCACCTTCTTCGCAATACATTGGTGCCCTGCGGAAAAGCATATTATGATTTGGAAGGGGCTGTTAGCACTACTCACGGGACAGCAAATTTTGTTCAATTAGTCATGCGTGTATACTAGCACATAATTGAGAGTAATAGTATGATCACTGACGTCTGAAAAAGTTACTGGCAATCATTTGGAGCAATGTTCCAATGTTCTGCCACCCTAAAGAAGAAAAAACTGTGCAATCTTTTTTATCTTTTTTTTTTTTGCCACCCCTGCTCCTCAGTTTCACGAATCCCTTGAATTTCAAGGTCGCTAGCTTGACAGATCTACATTTCAATTCACGGGTTCTGTTAAAAGATTCGACAGACCAGAAAAGTGGTTATGTGGACTTTATCTTTGTTTGCTTAGTGTGTAGATGGAAATACTAGTTTTATTAAAACAGCAGTGTTCACATTTCTCTGCATGATTTAGATAGTGTTGAATGACTTGAACAAACTTTTTTTTTAATGTAAGCCTTCTTTGCTCTAAATTTGGTGTTTTGGGATAAAAAAGTAGATGTTTTATTTTCCGTAAGCTGCTCTAAATTTGTATTTTAGTGTTCCAAAAGTTATGCTGTAGGCCCGTGTTGTAGGCCCGTGTGCTCAGATTTGGGTGCACGTTAAAGAACCCCAGGTGGTCTAAATTTCCGTAGCCCTCCACTACAGCGTCTCTCATAATCATAGTGGTTTTGGGACGTTAAACCCCACATATCAATCAATCAAAAGTTATGCTGCTCCAAAAATTGCTCCAAATTCTATTTTGGCTGTTGCACACCTGGATGCTCTATTAGCGAAGCTGAAATAGAGTTCCAAAAGTTATGCTGCTCCAAAAATTGCTCCAAATTCTATTTTGGCTGTTGCACCCCTGGATGCTCTATTAGCGAAGCTGAAATGTGCCTCCCCAAGTGGTTGCAGGTGCCGCAGCCGAAGCGAAAGTGCCGCTTGAAACAATCCTGCCGAAAGTGGGTGTAGGCTCCGACAAACATGTTCTCGCTATTGCCTCGTTGGTGCTGCTCTGCCTGCAATTGTGCTCAGAAATCTGTCAGATGCTTCGTGCGCAGTTGGTTCTTGCGCTTTCACATCCTAGCCTGTTGTTGAGCCCCGACTGCTATATCGGCCTGGCAAACATGAATTCTCACACAGATCAGCTGTCGGCGCTGATCTTGAAAGTTGTGTACTGTTCAGGCGTTCGTACGATCCGTGCCCTCTCCACGTGGAAGTTCCGTATAGGCTCGGTGGCACGGCTGCGAAGAGATATGAGTGATATTACTGATGCTGCAGCCCATGGCATGCGTGCTTGAATACAACGCGAAGAATTGTGTCACTAACAGCACTCCCAATGACACATGTGCTTGGGTTCAACGTAGAGAGTGACGTAACTGACAGCACAACCAACGGAGACTGTTATGGTTTCTCGTGGCGAACGATTTTTTGTTTTGCCTAGCCATACACAGCTCTCTGTGTAATAAAAAAAGACCACCCTCGGATTTTTTTTAGTCTCCTGAGAATTACAGCTAAACACGTTTTATACTTCGATTGGTTAAAACATGTTGCATTGTTCCTGTGAGATTGGAGTTGCAAAGTGACCTAAGTGGCCAAATTGATGCGAACTGGTCGTCACGTAAATGATGATTTTTGGTCTTAGGTATGTTATCTCATGTTCGTGGAACAGCACATTGAGGGGAAAAAACCAAGGGTTGGTTTTGAAAAGTGAATTAGTGCTTCATTTTTTATGCAAATCGAAAAAATCATAGTGACTTGGCATGCTTAATATGATAGCATGCTTAACACACTCTTAACTTCTGTCTATATTGGTTCATCACTCAGTAGCCTGTGCATCTTTTTTTTTTTTTTGCTCGTGCGTAGTTGGACTCTTATGTGCACCTGACATTTTATTGAATGTGCTGCATGTTACACATGATGAAGATTAATAGATCTTGTCTGCTTTGTCCTTAGCATATTTTTTTAATTCCTGATTGTATTTCACATCTTAACATTTTGTTCTAGGGTGATGCATTCTTCATACTTAAATGACAGTAAATGTAGTGCTTTGTGCAACAGTATTACATTATAAACAGCTTATTCAGTGGTTGCTTGGTGAGAGCATACATGCATTTCACGTATTTTATTTTGCATGTTCATGTTTCGTCTAGCTTCTTCCATATTTGCATATGCTTCTGCGGCGTCGTCTTCTTTACTTTGCTGATTCAAGGAGCATTCTTTCGCATCTCCCCAATAATTCACTGCGCAGAATGTGTTCCGGAGATGAGGAAGGCGAGGCGTTGCCCAGCGAGGTCAGCACGGCGTGCAACATGCGAGACCTGCTGCGCTGTTCACTGCCTTCCGGAGCCCATGGCTCCGATAGCAGCGGTCAACAGCAGGAATCGGCCTCTTCTCCATCGACGGGACGCGTCTTGCTGCAGTCGCTTGGGCTCAAGATTGGCGACAAGGTCACCGTGGGCGGCTCTAAGGTAAGATGATTAGCAAAACAGTCATCTGACACCCTCTCAGCTTTCTCATGGATCATTAAACTGACACTATGCTCTCATAGCTTAGTGGCTAAGAGCATGTGCTGTTAAGCTCGAGGAACGGCTCAATTCTCAGTCAGTGGGGCTGCATCTTGAAATCAGCAAAATGGAGAAGCATCTCTTCTAGCTTGAGCTTTGTTCATGTTAGAAAACCTGCAGGTGGTTCAAACTAATTTGTAGTCCCCACTACTTCTTTCGTCGTAATAGTATTGAGGTTCTTGCACATGGAACCACAGATTTTAATGTTCTTATAGATAATAAAAGTGAAGATGAGCTTAAGCGATAAACATCAGCATAAAATAAAAAAAGGCATTGAGATTTTTTTTGTGCAGTATTCTTACGGAAACATTCTGAGTTGCACAAGCTCATTTGATGTTTGGGGAATTTTCATAAAAGTATCATACGGGATCCATGTTGGTTCCGTATGCGAAATGTGTGAAGCACACCGAAAGTATACGGAATCATTGAACTTCACATAGGGCCAAGATCGCGGGGCTTTTACTCTTTGGATTCAGTTGTGAAAATAAATAAATAAACAAAAAACTCTTGCAGGTCGGCACGTTGCGATATTGTGGGACCATCCATTTTGCCACTGGCTATCTGGGCCGGCGTGGAGCTGTGTAATCCGCTCGGCAAGAACGACGGTTCGCTCGGCGGTGTCTCTTACTTCCAGTGCCCTATGAATCACGGTAAAGCCCCCTGTATCCCTTCAGTAGTGAAAAAAAAAAACGCCTTGAATGCTCGTCTTGTGCTTACTCGTTGTGCTGATTTGATGGAGCACATTCTAAAAGATAGGTAACTTAGGAGTGGCTCATTATCTATAAAAATAGGTTACTAGGTAAACTGACCATCTCGTCGAAGACAAGTGTCAAACTATGCAGATCAGCGGTTGGCAGCCTTTTGAGGTGGAAGGGCCAGGTTGCATAGAGCCAACACAGCAGTGGGCCGCATCGCAAATTTGGCGAGTTGGGGCTTCCCAGAGAAGTGGAAAAAGTTTGACGAATCAGCAAACAAATCTGGACTAGAATTTATATTTGTTTTCAGCGCGCATATTGCAGCGTTCTAATCAAACTAAGGTTACAAGCAAAGATCTCATCTTAGGAGAGAAAAAAAAAAAGAAAAACAAAAGGAACTGCAATCTCGGCCTTCAGATCGGCAACAATACTGAGAAAAAAAAGGGGTGTTTGACGTCATGCTAGGGGCCGTATGCAGCCAGCGAAGGTATACTGCTGTATGGGCCGCAGGTCGCCGACCCCTAGTGTATATCATTAAATCTCACGCATTCCTTCAAAACCTTACAAGAGCTGGCACCTCCTTTGTGGATGTGTATGCGTGGAGATAGCGTCAGTTGAACCGGCATTTACTGACAATAACAGGTTCGATAAAGTGCGCAGGAATTGTGTGTGCTGTATGTGTTGTATCTAATCTCAAAATTGGAATGAGTTTTCGAAGATAAGGCAGGAAATTATATGCAGGTTGACTTTACATGCAGGAATATTCGCTCCAATAACGAAGATTCAGAAGTACGATGGCAGTACTCAGGTAGGATACGGTGTCTTCACCGACAAAGCCAAGCCGCCCGCCAAAGAGCATTTCATACCCGAAGGTGGATGTGTCTCATGTATCTTCAAAAATTGAGACGGGTGAGTACTAGTTTTTAACCTCGCGAAGCGCACCTTCATGAAGGACAACTTCACAAGGGGCAACTCGCAAAAAGAATTTGAAGATCTTGGCTTGAGCACCCTCTTTTACTGTGCAATTAAACCTGGATATTATGAAATTGACCATGTTGCGAAAATTCATTATAAAGAGGATTCCGTTATATGCGGGCTCAGTACGAAAATTTGAAAAACAAATGCACAAATTAAACAAAAGGGGAACTGAAGCTAGAGCTAACCCAAAACACTCATTTAGCGGTAAAACAAACCAAATAAGCTGCGCTACTGTTGTGATAGCAATTATATGGACACTGCAAGTTTTTGCCGTTGCTGCCAGGTTCTGTAACAAGTCCAAAGTGAGAACATGCCCCCGTGCATCGTAACTTATACGTGCTGGGTAAGAGCCCACAAGCGCTGCTTAAGCAGAGATCAAATGAGCCGGCCCAACTCTATAGCCTAAGGAAGGCATCCCCCACGTTTCAGAACTGCTGTCGAATGCTCGAACAGAAAGAAAACCACCTGTCTTGAAAAAGCATGAAAAAAATTGGGGGGGGGGGGGGGGGGTCCGGGTAGCAACAGTGAAATTTGAGTTTGGGTCGTGATCGCCAGCGTGTGTGCTATCTGGGCAAGCATCAGCTCGCTTTCAACGTGAAGAAACTGTTTGAAAGGAGCACTTCTTCCAGGAGCGGCCATATTTGCTTACGCCAGCGTTTTGTAGGAGTTCTGCCAAAAGAGTCGACTGCCTGCCCTACTTTATTCATATAACATTACAATTTGTTGCCCTCACATTCATTGCACTGCATTCAACATGCCGTCGTATTGTTGCCAGTGTTGCCAGAGCTAATCGGCTAATCACAAAGGCTACGGTACCACGCACTCGCGTGACGGTGCAAGATGGTAAAGTGCGTGACGAGTAGATTTCCGAAGATCCGTAGTTGTCATGTGGGCTTGGAGATTTTCTATTCGTGCCTAATCTGACATCTCCTCAGTAGTGACGACATCCGGGTTTATAAAAAATAAAGAAGAAAAATAAGCAAAGCTGAACGTCCTTGGCGGCCACTTCATGCTCGCGCAGCGAAACCATACACATGCGCATGGCGTCAAATGAATAGCAAACGAAATGGAAAACTATTCGATAAAGTGCCTCTATAAGCAGCGCGACCCCGCATTTATGACGCTAACTAAAAGCGTGGCACTGCCAACTTTTTGGTTTAGAGGGAGGAAGAGAGCACATTTATGTGGCAACTCTGGGTTGTTAGGTGCAGGCCCCCTTGCCAGCCTCGTGCACATCCACGTGTATTATTGAGCACTCACTTTTGCGTGAGAGTTGCCGGAGCCATGAGCGCGACGCTGTTGCCGCTTTGCGCTTTGTTAGCAGCAGGGCAACTGCGGAAGATGCATGCTCGTACCATAATGACAAAATTCATAGTGAAATTCCTGGATTGTTCATGGCTAAAATTCATTATATCAAGAATGTCTCCCACTGTTACTTTGTTATATAAAGGTCGCAAATACGTGTGCTTCTACGGAGTAATGGCAGGAAATAGAAAAACTTCATTATATCGAGGAATTCGTTACAAGCAGGTTTAACTAATACCTGGTTTTTCCATCAAGACGGGTTTATGGAAAGATGTTTGCGTTCAGAAGCTTTACAGTGGTTTTACAGGTTTGTGAAGGCAGCTGATAGTGACACTAAATAGGGTTCCAGCATAGTGTGCTGTTGGATAGGACTTTTTGAACTGCTTTCATGAGCCAGATTGGTCATGAAAGTGACTTCCAAGGCCAAATAACTTGACAAGCATGTATTAAGTGTTTTTAATATTGTAGAAGTAGCTTTTATATTTTGAGAAAAATATATATATATTTCAGAAGATTGTATTGTTTTCTTTAAATTGCTCTGCCTTTTAGGCACCAGGGTCTCCCTCCTCAAGTGCTAAGTGTTTTGGGAAATGATTTGTGGTGGCACAGTGACTACTAGCAACATATAGCTTCAATTTCTCTTTGTTGGTGATTTGTAATTGAATGTTACAAATATTTCTCTGTGTTGCAGCAGTCAGCCATAAATGGTAATTATTAGGCTTGTGCGAATATTCGAATGCTTCAAATATTTGAACGAATAGTTGGGTATTCGAATTCGCTGCGATTATAATTCAAATTATCGAATATTTTCGAAGTACTCGCAATAAAATAAATGTATATTAATCCACTTGGAGAAGTGGTTTCACTGCAATGTAGGCGTGCTAAGCCGTGAAAGTATCTATCCAGGGAAAATTTGCTTTGCCGCGAAGCCTTTCTTCGAATTTAAAGGGGCCCTGCAACACTTAAAGCTCTTTCACACCGAAGGCGGCGTGGCAAAGCGGCGAAGCGCGGGATTTCTGAAGCAGCAAGGTGGCGAGTGCGTGAACCTGTTCAGGCCGCATGCCTCCTTTGTCTGGTCGCGCGGCAGAAGAGGCGAGCATCTCGCGATTTTGCGCATGTGTCGCTATGGCATGTCAGTGCTTCTCCCAAACGTACACCCACCTCACCACCGCGCCTCCGTTGCGTGGCGTTCTGATTGGCTGCGGCAAAGCCTTTGGCAGGCGGAAAAAAATTGCCCCAAGAGCGATCGGCCTTGCCGCCTGGTTTTTCTCCCGCTTTCGCTGCCTGGAGAGGAGGTTTTTTCCGCTTCCTGCGTTGCCGCCTCGTCGCTTTCATTGCCCAGCCTTCGATGTGAACGTGCCTGTACTGAGCAAGGTCAGAAAATGCTGCTGATCGGTAGTTGAGGCTACCGAGAACACGCGAGGCAAATATTATAGCGCAGCACGCGGCCTGTAATTCACAATAAATTTTCAGAGCTATAAATTGCTTTGCTACCTCAGAAAATGACAATATACATGCTCAAAAATCACTTGTCACAGCCAAGAATATGCGGCTCTAGTCACAGCCATTGGCTGATATGAGCATGGCGCGTTCATCGTTACCGGGGCCGCCGCTTGTCCACAAGTATGTGCGCAATTGCACTGAAAAGCCGCGTATTCTAAGAAAAAAAAAGTGCTCAAGGTCACGAGGTGCAAGGGACGTATTTTCTTTCGCCGTGCCATTCCTTTCTGCTTAGCTTCGAGCTATTTCGTCGGGACGAGAAGAGAGAATGCAATAGCAGCGTGTGACGAATTTTCGTAACTCCGCTCGTACTGGACTGATTCTAGAAACTATGTGGCGGTAAATTTGTGAGGCAACAAGCATGTTTAATGGCTTCATGGCTACTTGAAGAAGTGCTGAACGGCCCCTTTAAAGGAACATATTACCCTCATATCAATTCTTCATTTTATTAAGCTTGCTATAACGGCTCACATGCTCTCAGTATAATAAATTTTAAAACGTTTAGTATCTTACAGGTTATCACTCGCATCCTACCGAAACTACTACTCAAGGTTGTTTCGACTTTCTTTGAACGAAAAAAGAAAAGGCATTTGCATAGAGCCCCTATTTCAAATAAAAGAAATATTGCGCAGGTTAGTTAGGTCATGATAAATATTCCTTTTTTTATATGTCATACATATAATTCAAACTCAATTCGAAATTATTCGATCAAAATTACTATTCGCTTCATATTTGCTTCAAACCTAAAATGCACCATTCGCACAAGCCTAGTAATTATGCTAATGGTGATGACCTTGCCTTTTGCATTCCTTTAAGGTAGGACTGAAAAAAATGTCTGTATATATAACTGCTGATTTCCCCTGCACTGAGAAGATTTTTGCAAGACTCCCGAATTCTCACTGTATGCCTGTTAGCATGAGGATTCTCTGTGTTGTAGTTCTGCTGAGCTGGTCTCTTCGACTTCCTTGTTTCGGTTGCTGTTATAGTAACTGAAAGGGCCAGCAGATTATTTCAGTTGGTCTGTCAATACAGTTAATATTGACTGCTTGGAACATCTTGGTTGATCTTGATTGATTGACTAAAAATATCCATTTCCGCCATCTTCAGGTCTGTCCAACCTGAGACAGAAGCAGCATCTGTATGATCGCAAGAACAACAAGCTCTCGATCGGAGACTCCGTTGTCGTGGGACAGAGAAAAGGAGTGGTGCGTTTTCTGGGCGAAACGCAGTTTGCACCAGGTTTGTGTCTCGGCCAGTCACTTGTCGGTCAAACGCACTTTTGTGGTGACTGGATGTGTGATTGACTTTGTGTTTGCATGTCTTTTCTTTCTTCTTTGTGTGTTGTGTGTGTGTGCGTACGTGTCTTTTGTGGGAAGCACAATGCGAGCAACCGTCACCCGAACGCACAGGGTACTGGTGCGGTATTGAGCTGGCCAAGCCCGAGGGCAAGAACAATGGCTCCGTCAACGGCGTCACTTATTTCACCTGCCCTCCGAACCACGGCGTCTTCGCTCAGCCGTCGAAAGTTAAATGGTGAGCTTTTGTGTCACTTCTTGAAATTGTGATCATGTGTTTGTGATGCTTACAGTATGACCAAAGACACAGAAAGACAAACACGCCAGGTCACTTTTTTGTGTGTCCTGCGTTTTGTGTATTCCTTTTCTTGTGTGCTGTTTACATTACAATTTGCAAGCATGACTTGGACCAATGCACACATTCAGAAGTATTGGAGCACTAACACAAAATTTTGGTAGTGAGATAAGCTCTGGAATAGGTTTGTGTGCATAGGCGTGCACAGGGGGGGACAGGGAGAGCGATAGGAGGGCGCAAAGCCAGCCTTGTATATTCATATGATAGGGAGAAGGAGTGCTGCAATGAACCCTCCCCCTCCCAAAAGAAAACCCTATGAAAACTTACTTCGTTTGTGTAGGCGCACATGCATACTCTAAGAAATATCAGTAGATAATATACCATAGAACATACCTAAAATCTTTTTTAAAGTGCGTGTAGTTGCACTGGGTGTGAAAAGTGTCTTTTGTTTTTGTGTAAGAAACCAATTCCTCCCTGCATTATGAGTTTGTGTTGGCTGCCACGATTCCTGCGAGCGGCCTTGCCTAACAGACCTTTTCAACGCAAAGAGGGGACAGACTTGCGCTACCTTTCATAGGTGCCCGTGTTTTTGGAGGTTCTTGCTTATTTACGAAGCCTCAAAGAGGATTATAAGCACGTGGAAAGCCTTCATTGAAAAGAGTCGTCAAGACAGTACTCATGTTCCCACTGTAGAGCACTGCACGGGCCTGGATCCGAAAGCCGCGGGATGGGCCGGGCTGTCCAAAGCCTTTTCCAGTGGGCCCAGGCCGGTCCTGGGCTTGAGACTGCGGGCCGGGCCGGACTCGAACCCGCTCATTTAAAGGCCGAAGTCGGGCCTTCGAGCACATGCGAAAGTTATGCACTGCATGCTATAAGGAGCGAGGTCTGTTCGAAAAGCATGCAATCTTATTTTTTTGCGAGCTCCTGATGGATTTAAAAGAAGTGCGCATGCGTGAGTTTTTTCCCACCTGCCAATAGCGTCAGTCTCTGGGACGCAGCATTTGAGCGAGGTGGGGCACATTGCTTTCGTCGGTTTTTCATTGCAAAGCGACTGGAGCCACTGGAGCAGCACTCCTGCATCAAATTTTGCTAGAAACTGGGTGACAGCCAAGTGGAAAGTATTGGGAAGATCAAGACGGCTTTACACAGATTGCCGCACACAGATTCGGAATCGCACCTGCCCTAATCACACCCGCGTCCTAGGACTTAACAGTGAAACAGCTGAACCTTATAGCTACCCTTGCATCTAAAGCAGCAATTTAATGCATGTACATACTGGATTTTCTATCTGATCACCCGCCAAAAAGTGCAAGACATCGTTAATAATGATCATCAACTAATAACCTTTAGAGGGCCTAGGCTGGGCCTGGTAATTATCACGCGTGCCCTGGATAAGTTTAGTAATGAATGCCCTGGCCCGGGCTTGGAACCATGTGGCCAAGCTCGGGCTTGGAAACATGGGCCTGGGCTGGGCTTGGGATTCATAAAGCAGCTCCAGGCCAAAAAATCTTGCCCGTGCAGTGCTCTAGCCCTCGGTGGTGTGTGCTCACGTAGCCAGCTATGTTTACATGAAAACCACTCTGGGACTCTTTTCATTCCGCACTTTCTGAAACCAAAACTGTGACTTTAAAGTGCTGCAAAACCATCTCTGAATAATTAATCATCTCTTGCTCAAGCAAACGAGCTTTCTAGCTATAATAAGTAGGTTGTTAGCTACCTATTGCAACAGAAAAAGCAAGATGCAAAATTTTTGTGTCAGCGCTCCTTCGAGGCTTATTCGATTTGTGATGTCAGTGATCAAATCCTTCAGAGCCAGTGGCACCTCTGAGGAATTAAATTCTGGGAAGTTAAACAGACCCAATAAGAGGACAAGACATAAGGCTTCTTTTGTTTTAATTTCGTTTTTTGTGTAGTTTACAAAGTACTTCTTCAAGGTAGCGTACACATACACAAACACACACACATCTTCGGTCTTGATGAATTTGTAGTGTACCTTTGCAGGGGCCGAGACAATGACACCTGAAGCATTGCGAACAAATACGCATGCTAAGCAATGTTGTCACTAGTAAAATTGATCATGCGGTGCTTCTAGTAGCAGTGATTCATTTGCAAAGCTCGTATGCTCTCCCAAGCAACCAACCGCAGCGTCTCGCAAGGGCGACGGCATCGACGTCGGCGAAGCACCAGTTTGTGCTAAATGCGTTTAGGTTTCTCTTAATTTAACTCTTGAGTCTGTTTTGTACTGAATAATTCTGGCAACAGATTGCAAATTCATCAGATCTTATAGTGACTGATTAAATTAGCAGAAAGGAGGAAATTTACGTCTTTTAAATGTAAAACCTTTTATGGGCATCCAATTTTTTCCCTTATTTGTTGGCCGTTATCTTTCATATATTGTGCATTTCCACAATTTTCTTTTTATTATTTTTATTATTATCTTTTCGATAGGATACCTTCAACTACAGATGAGGAAGCATCTGATCTGGACTCCTTGGTTGATTTGAACACATCCATCAGCAGAAGCTCCACAGGTATTTGTTGTCCATCGACAATTAAAATACACTGCGTAGTAGCAAGATTAGAAAACTTCTTTGTAAAATGTTCCTTTTAATCAATATTTCAGCCTCTGCAGGACATAAGCTATTATAAGCCACTCATGGAAGTGCAATGGCTGGTAATCAACAAAATGAGTTGGTGTTTTCTACTGGCCATGCTTCATAATAGCCAATTGCCAACTGTGTGTTTTCAGCTATGCCTTTGTCGCAATGCTGCCTTGCGACCCTGATACAGGCCCATTGCTAGCTATTTTTGTTTATCGTATGATGCTACGCGGCTTCACGGCACTGGCATAACCACCATATGAGGACTTCTATGTAAATATCCTTGATGCCGTCAATGTACATTTTTGTAAGAGCTACAAAATGCCGGTCTAGTTCAATGGCACCAGCACCGCAATGTGTTTGGCCAACCTACCTGCTGGAATTGACAACCCCACTGTACATTTCCTCTTCTCAATTGTTTGTGTGGTTTGACTGAACGTGTGAGTGTAGCTGGTGTGTCGAAAGATGATAACCAGAAAATACTAACAGGGCAGTGAACACCACGTTCTGTAACAGCGACAGTGACACACGTGCAAGGCATAGGAAATGCGTGCGATAAAGAAAAAAGAAATGCGAGTGCTCCCTGAAATCTATGAAGTGAGACCTCTAAGGCTGCAATACTTTAATGGCTTCTGCTTCTGCATCATTGGCTGCTGTACGTGAATGAAATTGCGTTTATTTGCGCTGTTTTTCTTGTCCGGTTGAATCCACTTGTTGATCAGTGCTGGAACATGAAAAAATTCAATTTTTCAAGTTAACTAATAGGGCCGCATAAGGCAGTGGGTCGGAACTTACCCAGCACGTATGTACGCTCGTGTGGTTCGCTTGTTTGTGAGCGATTAGTTCCCAAAAAAGATGCCCCATTTCCTTTCAGATGGTGATTCGGGTGGCAGCCCTGCATCTCAGAGATCGACCGGCACCGATAAGAAACCGCCGTGAGTCTCCTTGCTTACTAACAATTCGGTCGCCAGACCACTTCCATGATTTCTGCTGCACTTTGTTGCACGCTTTTTTTTTACCCCTCACATTACATTGCACGACAAGACAGCGTGCGAAACCGTGCCTGATTCCTAACTGCCTGTTTGTTCCACCCGCCCTCGTCTTCTGGCTGCTGCCGAGTACAGTGCAAAGTCCCAGCATGCTAAAACTGTGCAGACCGTGCTCAAGAAGGGCTGCTGGCTGACAGTGGGGATGAATGTGTTTGTCTGCAATGAGCTGGGTAAGCCCCGACCCATTGCCTTTATTTCTTTGCCACGGGGTGACCAAAACATAAGTGCCTGCTTTGAATTTCTTACGTCCCATTGCGGGTGGTCCAGTGGTGATGGCACTCGCTGCTGACCCGCAGGTCGCGGTATGGAATCTCGGCTGTAGCGACTGCATTTTCGATGGAGGCGAAAAGGCCGTAGGCTCGTGTGGTCAGATTTAGGTGTCCGTTAAAGAATCCCAGGTGGTCGAAATATCCGAAGCCCTCCACTACGGCGTCTCTCATAATCGTATGGTGGTTTTGGGACGTTAAACCCCACTTATTATTATTGAATTTCTTACGACCTAATGGAGTCGTTAAAAAAGTAACTCCATTAAAGGACCAGGAAAATTAGACGACGCAAACCACCAAGGAAGAATAAGCGAAAAAAAAGAGCTTCAACTCGCGAGTTGACGCTCTTTCCTACCTTTGAATCTTTCCCAGTGGTTCGCATCTAATTTTATTGTAACATGCACTAACTAGAGCAACAAGTTTTACTAAAGTCCATCAAAGGATTTTAGAATGCTCCATTGAGGGGGTCTTGATAGCCCCATCAAAAGAGTGGCCATCTACTGTTGCACTTGAATTAAAGATGATGCAGTGTCTTTATAAATCATCGAAGGAATGATCGTCTTCTGCTTACACTTGAAGTAAGAGCGATGCATTCAGGGAGGGCATCTTTCTTTCCCAACGATAATCTTAATCAGTCTTGTTTGCACTTTCTTTCTCAAAAAACTGCATTCCCTCTACTTTCCTACCAAGAATGCCATGTTAGACATTTGACCTGACCTACGTTTCGATCAGAGAGCTATCTTTATCACGACAAAATTTACTGTTTAGGCAGGTCTGTTAGACTGATATAGCGCATGTTCTTTATGGTACCAAAGTACTTAGTTTAAGGTGATAATGCACAAAAAAGGTGTGCGAGAAAAAAAATTGTCGTTATACCAGGGAGGTGGTCGAAATATGTGCTATCTTTTGGGCAGCCTAGCAGGTGATGATGAATGGCGAGCCGTGTAAATGAAGAGTCGGTTTAATGTGCTTAAAGATTTTAAGAAGCCTCGCAATACATCTCGCGGTTTTATCTCACATCAGATTAGACTTTTACTTCCTGGAGGGACTGGTTGAATGATTGGGACCATCAAAACAGAAATAAAGTTTTTTCATTCCATTCAAATAAAGTTTTTTCATTCCATTCCGTCAAAACAGCAGATATTTTGAATCATAGAGAAATCCCAGTTCAAGCCTGTCCATTGAACGTCCTACTGCCGCTTCTAAAAAACTCTATCAACTGATGGTATTTTAGATGCTTGCAGATAAACAGAAATGTTAGGAGATATGTCAAGACTTCATTAACTCGTTTCACCTCCACTGCGGTGTCACGCATAAGAAAATTGACGTAATTGAAATCTGTCTGCAGTTTTTTTCAAAATTAGGAAATTGAAAGCAGTCACTAACCATCTGGGCACCCCGTATGTTTCTTAATGTACTACTTGCTGCGACATGTGTTTAACTAATCAGCATATCACACGAAGATCCTTTTAAGCGCATATTGTGAATGTAGTTTCACGTCTAACGGTAGATTATCACACAGATGCTTGTAGATTGGTAGTTTTTAACGATATCCTGCTCCAATTTCTTGCAATTTGTAGATGCAACTAATTATAGTTGTCTTGCCAAAAGCATGTTTTGCTAGCAATGCATCTTCACTGCTTTTATGAAATTGTTGCTGACCTTAATTGGTCATTGTAGATCGCTTGCAAGTTTTAACTTTTGAGGTTTAACTTTTCTCTCTTTCTGGTGAATTAGATCCCAGTTGAAATGGTCTTCCTTCTTAAGCCTGAAATGCTTATCCAATTCACTGTGGGTAACTTTGTTAGATTCTGCTATCACTCGGTAAAAAAGAAAATCTTATATTAAGGCTCAAGACAATTGCAAGGAAATTTACTGGAATTCAAAGTAAGGGCGCTAAAATTCAGAGTGGAATGACCACCGGAATGCAAGTATTGCCTGTAAAGTTTGCTTAGCTTTGTAAACATGAGACGACAGCTACCATCCATATTTGCGGTCATTTCCTAAGAAATCACTGACTAATGTTGTGCAGGCTTCTTGATGTGTCACAATGTGGTGGCTATCGTCATGTAAGAGGTATGGAATAAAGCATATAAGTACATTAGTGATATTATAAAGTAAAGAAGCATGTCATGCTTACATCTGCACCTAGTAAAACACCCTTGTAATATGTGTACATGGGCTAGGTGTACAAACTAGCGTTATATGTGGTTTAGTAGCGTTATATCTAGTTTAGTTAGTATTACCGTAGCCTTTTCTTCCAGTTTTGGTTACCGCTTCACAAAAAAAGTGAACATTTAACTGTTCTAGCTGGAGTAATAAAATTTTTTTATGCGTAGTTGAGCAGGTAGTTACAGTGTTGTCTTTACAATGCCTGTGAAAATCTAATCGGTATCCCACAGGTAGCTGGTCTTTAGGCTTGGCAATTCCTAGTGCCTTAATTATGCTACAATCACTGAGGTAAGAGTGGTTTCGTGAACAGCATGTAACGAGCTTTTGCATGGTTGCATTTATTTTTGCACAATTTTAATTTTCTGTTGTGTAGCGATTTAGAACAGTGGATTACCAAGCAAGTTCGTAATCATTGACAAGATGTAAAAGATGGCTATAAAGAAAGCGAACTTAAAAGTACCGATGATTAATCTGACAAAGCACTGTGGTCAGGCTTGTTGATATGGAATCGTTATTCAGACTGCGAAGGAGGGACAGAAGACGGAACAAGTTGACGAGCAAGCGCCTGTTTTGTGTAGCTGTTCCTTTTTCCGTCACTCTCATGCTTGTCTGGAATTACGGAGTCGAGGTTCGTCGATCTTAGCTTTTCTTCTTCTGACAGTCAAAGATCTTTTGCTACTGTTAGGTCATCGTAATGATCTGCGTTCTCATCTGCTCCATCTTCTCTGTACCCGTCCGTTACCGTCAACTACCCCCCCCCCCCCCCCCCCCCCCCAAAAAAAAAGGCGTTATCCGGTACATCGGTCCGGTGCACTTTGAGGAAGGCACCTGGCTCGGGGTGGAACTGCGCGGGCCCACGGGTCGCAACGACGGCAGCGTCCAGGGGAGGCGCTACTTTACGTGCAAGCCGAACCACGGCCTCATCGTCAGGCCCAACAAGGTCACGGTGCGGGGCATCAACAGTGCCAAGCTGTTCGAGGAGCAGCCGCACTCTTGAGAATGGCTTTTAGCTTATTTTGGGCACGTCGTAGTCCCGGTTTTTTAAATGGTTGGCTCTCGTGGAGCCGGGTAATGTATTTTCGAGTGCTCGTCTGTACAGCACCAGTACTCTGACTCGTAGACAAGCACAAGAAAGGCACCTTGAAACTTTCAAACTGGCCTTGTCAGACAGTTTGCTTTAATAGAAGTGGACTCAATGTGCTGCACACTGAGTATCCCCTTCGGGTCTGTCGCATAAGCTAACTTGGAAAATACAGGTTTGCAGAGTCTGTTGTAGAGGGACTGTAGAATTTTACACGACAGGATTGTTTGACTCGCCCGCATCACCTGAACCATTTCACGAGGTGCGGCACATCAGCATTCATTTCAGCATTGCAGCACTATACCATGCTGTTTATTTGAAAGGTGCAAAAAGGTGCGTGGTTGGTTCATGTTCCTTGGTAGGTGCCTAGTGGAACAGCGGCGAACGTCGTAAAACGCTGGTGATGCTTCTATCAGGAATTCTGCACTTTTCTTGTTTCGTGTAGCAAATACTATTACCCCTGTGTCAGTTGCCAGCCTAGACTTCATGGTCTGATAAGTAGCGAAGTGCATTTTGTCGCTTTTAGCTCCAAACACGCTACAAGTGAACAGGCTAAGTACCAGGCATTTAACAGTATCTACTAAAAAAACTGTGTAGAGTATTGCGTACATACTTTGACTGAAGCCGTGCGGCATATCTATAGAAGAGTGAGGATAGAAACAAATAATGCTATAATGCTAGGCCAACGAAATGGTGGTGATGTTTTCTGGACCTTCAGCTATTGCTTGGAAATCTCACGCATGCCTTTTATTGCATAAACTAATACACAGGAGGAAAGATTGTACAGTAATGCCACAACTGCTAGGAATGTATACTAATTGTGATTGTCAGGACATAATTCTGAACCAGTTAGGCCCTTGATATTACCTAGCACAAGCGTATACAAATTGTCATCATCAAGGTTAAGTACACGATTCTGACCTAGCGATTCTCTTGATGCATCTTAAAACATGTGGAATGCCAGGGTTTCTAAGTGGTGCTGGTTACACTAAAGATGATTGCACCTAGAGTATAATAGAATTCCACTAAGTCATCCAAACGCACTCTGTTGCATACCTTATATTTAGACTTTATTCTGCCCCCGATTTTGGTCTAGAAAATGATCTTTCAAAGTTTAAAATGGCAGGATAGGAAGAAGGCTTGTGTTTTGTTAGTTCCTCTTCAAGGCCTTCGTGCCTCGTTGGACATCGTGTTCTTGGGTAACCAAAAGCCATGCTGATAAAAGCTTTCCTTAGTCCTGAAAGTTCATGGTGACAGCCGTGAGGCCAGTCAGAGTACCAAAGTTGTGTGCAGTGAGAGGAAGAGTGTGCTGTTTGCACAAGAACACCGTGCCTTATCTGCAGAGTGCATTTCGACAGGTCCAGTGAGGTGTGCCTACCTGCAAAGTCTCACTTTCCGACTTGAATCTGTCCTCTGTGCTCTATATGTACACTTGCGTTTACACATCGCATCCGAGTTTATTTTTTCACACGCACCTTCCCACATTTGTTGTATTTATTTATGCACTTCTCACACTCTGATCATCATCATAGACGAGAGAACCTTAGCACACATAAAATGCAAGTATGAAGCTGTGGGGGGAAAAGAAAAAAAGATCTGCTAAGGTCTAGGGTACACTGCACGGAATACAGGCAGTAATAATTAAAGATCCTTCATGCACCGAAATTTATTTCTCTGCAGTACATTTGCAGTAGGAGCTGTGGGATATAGCAGTGCTCTTAGCATGCATTCATTACATGCAGTCTATAATGAAGCATATGACAACCCAAAGGTCTGTTGATGACACATAGCACTAGTGTTTCTCCAGTATGTGCTACATGTGCAACAATCATTGTAACTAACATGTTTTTTTAGCAAGTGGAGCTGGAGAGTCATGGTTGGCAGGCCTTGATTGTGATAGCTTGATATGTGTTCCTTCAAAAGCATTTAACCTCCTTGGTCTCTGGGTACTCAATTAGGTACTGTTGTTTTAGAGGCGACAGATCATCACGATTTGATGTCTGCATGTTCGAATTTGTCTTGGCACAATAAGAATGAGTTGCTTTCACAAATCTCTGAGAAGTGGCGCCGTGTGTCTAGTCATATTCGCAAAACAAGCGAATGAAAATGACTGAGTACTTACGAGCACTCGGTTACGTCCTCGTGATAAGTGAAAGCTTTTTTCTTAGTTGTAGTCAGTAAAACAACGTCTACAGTACATTTCTTTAACTGTGGATGCCCTGTAGATAATATTGAAAGTCATTTCGATCTGGTATTTTAGTTGCACTCAGTCTTGGAGACTTCGAAAGATCAGGAGCACGTTAATGGGTACCATCACATTTTGAGACAACTGTTCAATTTTTCGGATTCAGAATTATTCTGCATTTGTTTTTAAGGGCAGGGAGTCAAAAATAGTACGGTTTTGCGAAAGCTTTTTCTATTGGTGCATTCTTGGGTCTGAGGAGGTTAATGTTTACTTCTTGCAGCCTCGCTATGTCAGAGTTTAAGCTGCCGCCGATATGTATTCATTGTTTGCCCTAAGTGTAGTGGCATCTGTGAACTTGCGTTTGCACCTGCAGGAAGTGTGGTGTGATTTCCTGGCAGGATTAAGGCTGTTCCCTTTAGCCTCTTAGCTGCCAAGCCTGAGCTGCCTCTATTTGAATCTTTTTTTTTTGGATATGTAAAAAGCGGAGTGCACATGTGGGTATTGAATTTAGAACACAGAATAAGTTTGCTGGCAAAGAAAAATAACGTTAACTTAACTTGTTTTGCAATACATTATAAAAGAGCTTGAGATTTGAAAATAATTTAAAATCTTGTTAGGTTCATAAACATATGTCATCATGTGCGTGTTTTAACATACCCAAACAATATCAGAACCTCTAAATAGGTGCGAATAAAAAAAAAAATGAAGGAATTTTTTAATGCATGCACCTTGTTTTGTAATGCAACTGTGGGGCAGCAAGATGTGACATTTGTTTCAATATATGTTGTATGTTGTTTTAGTGTTGTGCACACTTGCTATCTAAATAAGATATCTTTGTCACATCTGAAGCTGTGTTATCGCATTGTAACATGAAAGCTTTCTTGTTCTGTGTTGGAGTATTTTGGCTGGAAGACACCTTTAAATGGAAATCAAAAATATTTACTTTGTATTTAGGGCAGTACAGAATACGTTGCATATAGTTAATCTGGGCTTGAAGAACAATAATTGAAAATTTTCAACCTGTTCCACTACCATTTACTATATGATAGCACTGCAGATGCACGAAGCGCATTTAAGATTTCGTGTTCAATAGGTATTAATTATTCGATATCTGAAAGGGAACAGGCGTAGTCAGCTGATCGGCCAGCTGGAAGGATAAAAGTTTTACTGGAAAATTAGTAAAATATAGTAGTGGCGTCATCAAATCAACGGTTCTCTCATCATGCACATTTGTACCCATCTCTGTTTCTTGTTTGTTTCCATGTGCACCTGTGTGACCACATTGCATTTTAATTCACAGTGTCAAAGCATGACGTCACTCGTTGTGAACGTTTTTTTTTTTTTTCGTGATGGCAGTTGAATGGAGGATTGAAGGATTGCCAGTTGAAGGATTGCCAGCGGGCAACATAGTAAGCTAAACTGCCATACAGTTGGTCAGTGTTCGTTACTTGCTTTATGAAGAGCCCGCTGGTGACTTTCATACGACTTTCGTAAGGCACTTATGCCGAGGTTGTTGTCGACTTTTGAGGTTGTGCAATATCATATAGTGTTTACAGCACCTTATTGCCGAAGTGAGCAGTCATATTCACTCATGCAGCCATTTCACATTCGTAAAGCGTAGCAGCTACTTGAATAAGAATGGTAAATATTCCTTTTGGATTGGGAAATCTGTAATAAGCTGATGTACTGAAGATTACTGGTTACCTTAGCCTGCTCACAAATGCAGAAGACAAAAGGTAATGAATTGACAAAAATGATCCAGTACAGTGGTCTAAATTAACAGACATTTTTATTGACTCGAAGCTTGTTAATGCATGCTAAACTAAGGTTACTGTGTAAACAGAGAAAAAGGGAGATGGAAGGAAACATGGCATATTGTTCTTTATGCCTATGCGACCCTGGGCTTTACAATCGTTGATCAGTGTTGGGGCTTTATTCCAAAGTCACGGATAGTGCAGCAGTGTTCACTGTCCAATTTCATGGTGGTTCCGTATAATTTCATTGGCAGGCTACGTGGAGCGATTTCTCTGAAAGTCTGTGTGCATAGGGTGAGACACTTTCAATTTCTACTAAGATTTTTGATGCCTTCTTCCGTTGTCTGTGTGTAGTGTGAGCAGGTCTTGCTCTATCAGAATTATATGGAACACATCCCTGGTGTGTTCCTTGTGATCCGTATGGTTCATCAGTTTGCATTGAATTGATGCTGTTCTGATACTAATAGGTTTTAAAAAACTCATAGTCTATGCGTTTTTGAGACATTGAACTCTCTCCTATTAGTATAGAGCATTGCTTATTTATGCCTGCCATTGAAACTTACCTACACTTGACATGGCAAAGCAACATGCTCTTTTTCATCTTTTATACTGTGTCTACTTATGTACCTTGGAGTGGCTGTCATATCTTGTGTTAGTTGGCAGGTGTGGATATCTTATAAGACAGGGAGAAATATTATTTTGGTACCTGGTTTCTCACTTATGTTTAGTACATATTGCTCTAGCCATGGTACCTGAGAGTGGCTTGGCATTTATAGAACTTGCATTTTTCCGGCGGATCTGTACGACTAAACCGTCTGTCATGAATTCAAGGACCCATGCATGAACAGCTGCTATGTCATGTTTATTCTAATGTAGGCATTTTATTTTTGCCTTCTGTCATTTATTTCTTGAACTTTTGCACACTTCATTTGCATTGTGCTTACTTTCTTTTAGTAAAAAAATACATATAAAATGCTTTTAAAGAAGTAAATGATACTGGTCATTCCCATTTTAAAAGTACATATATCTGGTGCGGATCCTTGAATACAAGATGCATTTAAGTTCATTGTTAAACCAACACTTGATATGTGGTTTTTAAGTGATTCAGCCATGCATTAGCAAATAAAAGAAATATTGGTTTCACATACAGTGATGTTTTCCTCTGCGTGTTCATCACTACACACCCACATGATATGCCATGTGTTTATATAATGTTGTAAGCATATAGCACATTTTATTAGTAGTACAGCCTGCTGCTAACTTTTAAATGCACTCGCTTTAAGGAGGCCCATGCAGCACTTTTTCAAGTAGCTATACAATGACTTAAGTGAGGAATCTTATCCTCAAAAATCAGCTGCCACGAAAGTTTTGTGTGTATCAAGTATGAGCGGAGTTAGAGATGTCGCATGCTCTAATCGCTTTCTCTACTCTCACATCCCAACGAGCACGTTGGAAGCAGCGGCGTAGCCAGGGAGTAACAACAGGCCCCAGGCCCACCCTCCCCCCGACCTGGGATTTTTTTTTTCCATTATATATATAGCACAAAATGACACTCGGATACGCCTGCCTGCTCAGGCCCCACTTCAGATAATAGTGGTTCCTCCCCCTCGAAAAAAATTGGTTTCGGCCTGCGCCGCTGGTTGGAAGCTAAGCAAGGAGGGAACTGCACGAAAAAAAGTTAATTCACGTGCACGTCGCGACCTTGAGCCATTTTTTGTTTTATTGTGATAGCAATTATATGGATACTCTCTGTTGGTTTTTGCCGTCGCTGGCATGCTCCGTATATATATATATATATCACATTGAACTATACCTGAAACATCATAAAAACAGCTTAGGTAAAGTATACTATACTTATGTCATTATATACCACTAAGAGCATGTGTAATATCTATCAGAAGCCAAACACAACGCCTCCATACTGTCTTGAAGGCCGTCAACTGCATTTTAATTTTACCCTTTGGGACTGAGAAGTGGGCGAAATATCCTGCCCTTTAATGGTCGAAGTATGAAGATACTGTTCCACAGAACTACCACTGCTGCCCTATCTTGACATTGTATACAGCAGTATTATTAATACAAGGGACAAGCAGTTGTATGACATGCATTATTCGCAGCCGAAAAGCCCCCGCTGGAACTTCGCGCTGACGTGCTACGCAGTAAAGGTGAGGCAATGGCAAGCTTCGTTCTACCTTGTGGCTGTTCTGGTGGAAAAAATTTTTTTTCTTATAATGATATCTTCTCTTCTGAAATCTGCATGTTTTACTTACAAACTGTACTTTGTAACAATGTGTAAGCCATATTATTACTTGGACTGTTACATGGCAAAAATTAAGGTGCAATATGAGTGAAAACGCTATTTCTTTCAAACTTTTTGTCACTATATTCTGGCAATGTTTGTGCTTCAATCGCTCCCAAAGTAGTTTAATCACACAAAATAGGAACTCGCGATTGGTGGACAAAATTTTCGTGTTGAATTCACTGTACTGGCTTGCGCAACTCATGACGTCATTTTAGGGATTGACCTCCTTCATGAATGCGGCCCTACGCTTGACTGTGGAACTGGAGAGATTCTTCTGCAAAGTACGTTGCCCGCTGCCATAGTTGATGATTTTCCGGCTCTCCCTATCGATGCACTTTCGTTGTCTGAAGATGTGACGATCCCTGGTCGGACAGCAATGTTTGTTCCCGTATGTTCTTCTTACGTCCGCTCAGGACCCTGCACTGGACTTGTCGAGCGCGATCATACAAACGCCATCAAGAAGAATGTGCTGGTCTCACGGTCTGTCCTTACAGCTATTGACGGACATGCTTGTTTGAGGAGCAGGCCACAGTTGACGTCAGAATGGTCACAGAGTCTCCAGCCATCAGTCAGACTGCGCACAACTACTCAGCCGAGATGAAACGCATGATAAGTAAGTTGTTGCCTTCTTCCGAGCAGCATGTCCTCGAGGAGGTGCTTACACGCTACGTGGGAGTCTTTGATTTCGCTCAAGACAAGCGTTGTTCCATGCTGACCAAATCCCGTATGCACCACAGCATCAACACGGGAGATGCTACACTGATACGCCAGAAACCCTATCGCGTATCCCCGTCAGAGGGAAAGTGATCGCCGATCGGGTCAGCAACATGCTGTAGAAATGCGTTATCCAAGAGTCAAGTAGTCCCTGTTATATTGGTCAAAAAGAAAGACAACTCTTGGCGATTTTGTGTCGACTACCGTTGTCTCAACGCCATCACAAAGAAAGACGTGTATCCGCTACCACGCATCGATGACGCTCTTGATTGCCTGCACTCAGCTGCATACTTTTCATTCGTCGACCTAAGGTCTGGATACTGGCAAATACCATACCATTGCATCCGTCTGACAGAGAGAAGACCGCTTTTGTCACGCCTGGTGGGTTATTTGAATTAACGTTATGCCGTTTGGCTTATGTAATGCCCCAGCTACCTTCGAGCGATTCACGGGCTCCATCCTTCACAGTCTCAAATGGGAGATATGTATGTGTTATCTCGATGATGTAATTATTTTCAGCAAGACATTCCACGAGCACAACCATCGGCTTAGCGTTGTTCTAGATTGCGTCAAATGAGCTGGTCTCATTTTAAACGCAAAGAAGTGTCATTTTAGTGAGCGTCAAGCCCTTGTGCTCGGATACCTAGTCGGACAGGGACGGTATATGGCCAGACCCGCAAAAGATCAATGCTGTCCGAGACTTCAAGCAAGCAACGTTTGTGAAGGATCTCGGTAGCTTCGTGAACCTGTGTTGTTATTTTCGCTGGTTTATCAATGACATCACCCAGCCTTGCTCATTCTGTAACATAGTTGCTCCACAAGAACGCCCATTTCGATGGACCGTTGAGTGTGAGGCTGCTTTCGAGGATCTGAAGTATTTGCTTACTTCCGGGCCCCTCTTGCGGCATTTCGACCCGGAGGCACTCACGGAACTGCATACAGATGCTAAGTGGTATCGATGTTGGTGCCGTGCTTGTTTTCTGTGTGATAGCAGGCACGTGGTGGCCTCCCGCGGCGGCCACGGTAACTATGCAGTTCACGATGCTCGAATCAGCCAATGGTCTTCAATTTGGGCCGCGGTCATTTGATAATTTCTAGAAAGAAGAGGGTTCAAATTCTTGCCGACTATGATAATTAATTTTTCATTCCAGGTCGCCTGCTGCGCTATGTTTGGCTCAAGTGTTCTCGATATATACTATACCAAAAGCACTGGAATGACAGTTCGGGTGACTTAGTCTTGCAGAAGGCTTATCACTACTATTGCAACTCATAAGTAAAAAAAAAAAGACTACAGGTAAAAAAGACAGACAACAAAGACGGCGGTTCTACGGTTTTTACATAGGAAAGTCTGTGAGGGTGTGCCCAATTTAATGCAACGCATTAGTGTTATCGAGCATGATCTTAATCAGCTCACACATGTGGAATGGGGTGTTCATCAAGCCACATGTTTAATTGGAGCTTTAACCCACAATGTTTAGCCCTAATTGTGGGAGAAATCGAAGGAAAGCAAGAGAATGTTATATAATGCAGTTTAGTAGCTGGGTAATTGTGCGAAACCATAAGATTTTGACATAAGACTTTGACAAAATGACCACTAGAATGGAAAGATTGTTCACGTCGCATTATAAAAAGTTGAAAGCAAGAGATAATTTTATCAAACGATGAAGGCTTAAGGTGACGACATTCAGACAACATTTTTGCTTCAATGTTTCTTCAGAGTGAGTTGCCTTAGTCATGGCAGCATTGCTTTGATGCGGACAGGTTCTTATTGATGTGTTAGCTGCAGCAACATTCCTTGTTTGACTACTACTCATTGCTGTATTGAATTGGTAGAACATGTCTCTACTGTAGGCACTGGCAGCTCTGATCATTTTGGGAATGCTCTCGTTTGTTCTTTTTACTTTTTTTTTCTTTATTGGCAGTTGGATCGTGGCTGCCGTGTTTACACAACCTGCGTGTACTCGACGGTGATGTTGGGCTTTACATTCAATTGTTGTAATTGTTGTGCCAACGGCGGTCCGCTCTCCTGTCCCACCCGGAACCCGCGCAGGGCGGTCATGCCGGCTTCCCTGAACTTGCCCAGCGTGTTCGCCATGCAGTTCTGTCGTGCAAAGAAACAGAAATAGATTATTTACTTTTGTTTTCGTGCGAATTAGTTCGTTTGCTATAGCCCATTGTTATAGTCACTGTTATAGCTCATTATGCAGGTCGACTCGCGTACATAGCGCGCCTACCCCCTCCCACAGTGGATACGCCCCCCCCACTCCCCCGAGAAAAAAAATGGTTAAGTATCTGCAGGCTTCAATGCAAATGACCTTCAAAGATGATAGGCGCTGCGTGAGATATGGATGCCATCTGGCAGTAATGTCAAAAAACACATTTTTTTTAGGAACGAGGAGCAACTGGTAGGTGGCAGCACTGTGTCGTTTTGGCTAGGGTTCCTCGATGCGCGCTCTCTCGGCGCGCGCATCGAGGAACCCTAGTTTTGGCTAAGGTCCCTAGATAAAACAAATTTCATCTAGGGACCTTAGTTTTGGCGAAGCGTAGCAAACATTCACTTTTTCGTTCATAGCGTTGCGTTGTCAGCGCAGTGTAGTAAACACTGTGGTCTTTAGAATTACGTATCTGTTCATTTGGTGCATAATGTAACACACGACTTAATACTTACATGTTGATGTCTCTCAAATAAGCGTAATATTTCCCTTTTGATTGACAATGTTCGCAAGTATGAATGCAGCCACGAGATTAGTAGGGAGGGGGGGGGGGTAGCAGTGGGTGAAACTTTCGCTGGTTGGCTGAATTGATTGACAGGCAGACAAACGAAAAAAAGAAAGACAGAGTTGTCAAGATGCCCTCGGGCATGTGTATGTAAGGCGGGAGGCGATGGAGTTGATTTTAGACGCTCGAAGTCTTCCACATCATCAAAAGTCACCTGTGTCATGACCCTCTTATTCACTCTATAAATGCAAGCACCGAGGCATGACACTGTTATACGGAATGTAGAATGACGATTCGTACCTTGAAAAGGTAGATAGAGTTGTCAAACGGTGGAGTTCTCAGCTTGACTTCAGGCTGGAAAATGAACAGAAAATGCTCATTGAAGAAAGTTTTAGTTTGCGTGATTGGCTTGTATATAACTGCGTACTTGTGGAATGCTACAAATTGTATGGCATTATTATTATTACATTTAATTCCTAATGCCAGGGTTTGTTCCACTCGTGTATTTCTAAAACGACAGACGATCTTATTGGCGACCGATTGATGAAATTTTTTAAACATCGCATGACTAGAGGTCTATGGCACCCTCAGATGACAATGCACTTCATTATTAGCGATTAGAAGCTGCTTAGTACCCATGGAGGAAGAAAAAAACACAGGAGGGAGCATGACGTCACGCTACCAGCCTTGGCAAGCCAACCCGTCTTGAAGCCATCAAAGTCGGCCCAACACGTGACCTTTTTGCCGTAAGATCACGCAATAAACGAGACTTGTCGACACCTTGGAGTACGGCGCCCGGTAGCTTTTAATTGAAATGCACTGGTTCGGCGCAGACTGGCCGGCTCACGCAGGTGTTTCGAAGATGGAACTACAGTGGCTACCACTAAGTGGTTCTAAGAGAAAAAGGAAGCGAAAAGTGAGCCCCGTAACTGTCTGTTTCAGCGAGCGACACCTCAACAGTAGCTCACAAGGGATGGTGGTGAGGAGGGATTAAAAGGGTAGGAATAAAGGTGTAGAGAGAGAGAACGAGGCGTGAGGTGGTAAGCCAGAGAGCGCGACGACATATTGAGGGGATAGGAGAGATAGGAAAGATGGAAAAACGATCACAGGAGTCCGAGGACGGGGCATTACTTGCGAGAGCTCTTGTCGGCGTCAGGAGGTGGCGTAGAGAAAGTCCAGTCGGTCATAGCTACACTGTCGTCGGAGGTCGGCGTCAGGAGATGACGTAGGGCGAGCCCAGTCGGCAAGAGCTACGCCGACGTCGGAGATCGCGAGGGCACAACCGGTCGGCACGGAATCCAGCGAGCGACTCCGGAACTTGAGTGGCTATAGTGGCTATTCTATTCGTTACAGTGGCTATTCTAGCCACTGTTACGGAACAGTACCGAAAGTACTAAAAGCTACCGCAGGCTCTGACGTGTTGATCACGTGTTGGGCCGACAAGGTGGGCTTCATGCGTGTGACGTAATGCTCCCTCCTTTCTTCCTCCGTGTTAGTACCCAGTAGCCGCCTTCAAAATCTTTTGACGCCACGGTGTGTGGTGCGGAAATATCAAGGTGGCGTCTCCTCCCGCATTCTGTTTTCGTGCGTTTTCTCGCTTACAAAGCGTCGTGTAGCGACAAGATTGGTGTTCTCGGGATCGTGGCACTGTATTTTACGAATAGACTATGAAAATCGCATTGCTCTCAGTGTACTTTTAAAGTCGCATATTTGCGGCGCTTCGTTCTCGGCTCGCTTCGAGGATCGTGCGAATGAACCGGATTGTGACCGAAAATGGCCTTTCAACATTTTTTTTTTTGTACTGACCAGCACAAGGAAACGCTTCCGAATTATCCGACTTTCCGAATTAACGAGTGTCAAATGAACGAGATCTGTTGGTGCAGAGAAGGAACTAGCGTGTGCGCTCAATTAAACCCCCATATGCTTTGCCTTCTCTCGCACCTGGGGACGCCAATGGTCCGCCTCGGTGGTTTAGTGGATAGGGTGGTCGGCTGTCAACCTGAAGGTCGCGGGTTCGGTATTGGCCACGGCGGTCGCATATCGATGGAGGCGAAATGGTAGGGGCCCGCCCGTGTATGTACATGTGGTCTAAATTTCCGGAGCTCTCCAATACGGCGTCCTTCATAAGCATATCGTAGTTCTGGGACGTTTAACACCAGATATTAATTAATTGATTAATTAATGGGCACGCTAATGAATGCTCGCGTTTTATTCTTCGGTTTTTTTGTTTTTTAAAAAAATTAATCTTAGCGAGTCGCCTCATCATTCTTGTCACCTCTTAAACGATACTTAAAACTCCTGTAATGACCAAAAAGTTAATGAGGCTCAGGCCAAGCTTTGCCGCAATTGGTGACATCTCATGCGAAGAGCCCACGGGAGTCCGAAAGCCTCGTCGTTTTCGGCTTCTTTCGTATCAAGCCTGCATGCTGTTCTGAGCATTCGAATTTTTCTGTACTGTCGAATTTCATAATGGCGGAATTTTAAGCCAATCGACGAGGCTGCAGCAGCCCCCCGGGCCAATCGAGGTTCGCCAACGGCGGAATTCCGTAGCACGGTGGAATTTTCTCGTCTCCTTTTTTTCTTTTGCGTCCTAGCGCATTTCAGTTTGTTTGGACAACTACTCCCAATCACCGGCCTGTCGCAATCTTCGCGTCTGTCGCAAACTGAACTACATTCACAATTTTTTACACTTTGACACTGATCTAAGCTTCAGCGAAGCTACTACAAGCCAGCTCGTGCTTTGACATAACCACAAAACTTATGCAGTAGTGACGTCTGAAGCGAGCTCACCCTCAATTTCAGGTAGGCGTCCACCCTGCAGTCCTCCACTTGACTCAGCTGCAATAAATTTCAAGATAAAGGTGTGGTGGTTATCACGTACGTGCAGGTGTGCTCTTTCGGGACGCGAGTATGAGCGGTAAAGAAAAAAACTACCGGACGGCAAAAGTACACCCTTCTAGGCACCCTGTCCCAAGTCTCGACAGACTTATTTATTCTTTTTTCTTTGCTCTTCTCACCCTTCCCTTTCCACGTGGTGAGGGAGCTGAGTAGGCGAGGGAGGAGAGAACCGGTTAGGAGAGGAGGACAACCTTTCCTTTTCGCCGGTCCTCGTCGTAGCCGGCACATTTGAAAAGTTCCCACGTCGCTAACCCATAGCGTGTGGGAACTTTTGACCGCCACTTACGTCCGCTGCTTAGCGTGAGACCTGCAGCTGTTCAGTGTAGTACGCCCTATACGTATGGTCGACTTCTGCAATTTAGAAATTTGTAACAAAACATATTTAACAGCAGTGGTGGACGTCAGAATTTACGTGGTAAATGCCAGTGAAACCACGCACAAAAGTTATCCAACCTTCTGTGAAAACTGATTTGAAGAGGTTTATTCTCTTTTTGTATCTGCCAACGAGCATCTTTTCGGTGACTTTTGGAGACGTATATTATTGCAGAGTTTGAATGAGCACTCAAGTATCACTTCTCTTCCTTTTTCGTAGAGATCTTGTGTCTATCACAGTTTTTAGAAACGCATACATGCGGTTACAAGAAGAGATCGTGGGATCCACCTTGTTGGATTTAACACACACGCATCGTATGATGTACCCGGCTGGCGACGTGGACGCGTGCGCTCGACTCCAAACCAGTGGTGGCATAGTTCCAAAGACGGGTCCCACGTGGTCCTTCGTTCCATTAAAAAACGCATCTGCCCATGGGTTCTATATATGGTCTAATTTATGTGATGTCAAGCCACGCACTCACCAGGGCGTCGTCCTGGCAGGTGGTGCGCGAGTCCGCCTGTATGATCCGTGAATAGAGGCAGGCGAAGTACTCCCGTTTCAGCAGTTCCCATCCTGCCTGCGAAAAGGGCACGTTACTTGTACGGTGTCCTTTTTTTTTATGAAAGGGAACACGCGAGCGCATGGCCGGCGCTCTGGCACAGCTGCCTACAGCACTGTCAGGCGACAGATAAACGAAAGCGCGTCCTCTTTTGGCGGCATCTTCCTTTGCGAGACCAGATCGGGAGCGCAATCTAGCAGCGCCAAGTCTTCGGACATCCGTCACATGGTGCGGGCCTGACCCTGCAATCCTGCTGTACTCTCTATCGCGAACCCTACCCGGGAGCTGTGGGTGTCGACCCTGCTTGGCTGTTCGGACCTTCAGGCCCCAAAAGCCTTGGGTCGACGTACAAGCCCAGGCAGCAGCCGACGCTAATGAGGTGCCGTACTCTAGGGGATCCCCACCTACTAGTCGTGGCCCGCACGGGCGTCAGCAGGGCGGGTGTGAAAGGGGCACTTCCCCCTCCCCTTTCCAGCCACAACAGCAGTTGCCCTCACCCAAGCTAGACCCAAGCTTTCCCTAAGCAGCGATGCAACAGTGGTTTGCACCCCCCACCAGAAAATCCTGCTGATGACGATGGTTGTGGGTGCCGTCCTCTTAGGAGGCGGTCGCTGCATACCTTCATTTTTTTTGTGTGTTGAATAAATGTCCTTACCACCACCCTCCAACTTCCTTGGCTCGGTAATTTGTTTGGAAATAGATGTCGCCAAAAGCTGAGGCGCTTGAATTTCTTTATTTGTCGGTCTACGGTGCTGTAGGCAGGCGCGTCAGAGCGCATGACCACGTCCTCGCGTGTTCCCGTTCATATTAATAAACACTCGACATGCTTGTATACGGAGACACGTCCCGATTACTCGTGCAGAGAACACTCGTGCATAGGTTCCACTTACGATGTCTTTGAACTCGAAGCTGTCGTCGGAGCACCCCTCGAGGACGGCGTTCACTGCGTCGCAAAATCAAGGCGAAGTACACATTTGTAGCATTCGACTACCTGGCAGGCTTGTTGGTATAATATTGTCACACATAACCAAAAACGTGTATCCACTATCACTGATCTCGTAGTTTTTTTCACATCTTTTTGACATAGCTTTGTGAAATCAATCGCTAGTTGTTGATGACCTCGGTTGGACGTCGGTTCGCATGCTTCCGTGTGAAAATATATGACACGGTTCGCTGTTTCTACGATCTAGCACTTGTTCACGCCTCCATCGGACTGAGGTTGCTACTCTGTATCCACAACTATACTACTTACAACCCAGCCAGCGCCTCCTCTATTTTATACAGTAAAGGAGGCTTTGATCCAGCACACTTTAACGCACCTCACGTTGCCCCGAAGGGCCCAAGTCGCGCGTGCGCGCCGCCGGGCTGCGTTTCCTGTCACTATAGTGTACAATTCACCGAAGTTGATTGCCAAGATGCGTCAGTACTGCGTATCTTCACCTTCTATTTACAGTATAATAAGAACCGTTGAGATTTTGCGTCCCGATCACGCGATATGATTGAGAGTCGCCGTTGTAGAAGGCTCTGAAAGTTTAGACCCCCTGAGATTCTAACGCGCCCTTTACCTTATACCACACGGACCTTAATCGTGTTGCCTACAACAGAATACGGCTGCTGAGGCCGGTATCCGATCGCGTGACCATCTAGTTAGCAGTAAAAGCATCATAACCACAAGGCGAACGGAGGGTTCACCATCAGAGGGGATAGGGATGTGGGGGAGGTTTATTGCACCCCCCCCCCCCTAATTGAGTCAAAGTATAAGACGGACTTTTCGCCTCACCCCCTCTCCTAGAAACAAGCCTCCCCTCTTTTTACGAACGACAAAGCCTCTTGACTGACGCAGACATGTCGACTGACGCACAGACCACGTCCTCTTCACCGAACATCTCAACACATGGAAAAGCTTCCATCTTTCTATGGGAACTCGATACGAACCATATATCTGTTGTAGTCCCGCTGAAATCCGACCACCTTGGAGAACTACTGCCCGCTTCCATTCTGTATTCTGGGAATGCGTGCGAGTGGGTTGCATGCATGTGCGCGAAACGACGTGAGATGATCGTGCCCGCTTGGCTCTGCCGATGAGGCGCTCCGCTTGCGATTGTGCAATCGATCGCCTGCGCATCGCATGCCGAGCGTCCTGAGCATCGGCACAGCAGTTGTCGTTTGCGAATATCTCATTAACGGAGCGTGCGTGATTTGTGCTCCCATGCCAGCCGCAGTGTGCGCTCGTGGCGAGAGAGGAATCGGCTTGGAGGGCTGGAAGGGCGGGTACAAAGCCAAACGGAAAGCAGCGCTTTACGTCGCGCGCAAGAATACTTACTCTGTCGGGCCGTGCTGGCATATAATGGCCTCCTCGCTGACTTAGACTCCCTTGTTTGATGTTCGATCAGCAGAACGCGCTATAGTATGATTGACTGATTTGTGGGGTTTAACGTCCCAAAGCCACCATATGATTATGAGAGACGCCGTAGTGGAGGGCTCCGGAAATTTTGACCACCTGGGGTTCTTTAACGTGCACCCAAATCTGAGCACACGGGCCTACAGCATTCCGCCTCCATCGGAAATGCAGCCGCCGCAGCCGGGATTCGAACCCGCGACCTGCGGGTCAGCAGCCGAGTACCTTGGCCACTAGACCACCGCGGCGGGGCGCGCTATAGTATGTATACCTGTTGATTAATTAATACCTTTGTTACACAGGCAAGCTAACCGCGATTACGACCAGCCTTGGTTAACCGTGGTTGGTCGTAACTAAACATTGGTTGGCACTAACCACATTCAAAAGAGGTTATACCGCGCCAACCACGCTTCACCGATGCTATACACAGCGCAAAAGCGTCTTCGGTTAAGGCGGCAGCCCATCCTTCCTCGCTTAACCTCCAAACCAAGGTTGCCAAGCTTGGTTTACAAGAACCTCGGTTAGCGGCGTAACCGCGGCTTCGCCTACCATGTAACATAACGCGAACCTCGGTTACACCTAAACGCGGCCTCGTTAACCGTGGTTTAGGTTGCGTGTAACGAGGGTGCAAGTAATATTTCTGGAATTCATCCAGCGACTCGTGACCGAAGTTTTATTGTTATTATTCATTCAGGAGTGAACGAACACTTCGAGCTGTTCTGGTGTTTTGGTGCCCGAATGCTGACCCGTTGGTCGCGGGATCGAATCCCGGCAGCGGTGGCCGCATTTAGATGAAGGCGAGGTGAAGTGGAGGCCTGCGTGCTTATGTTAAGAACTTCAAGTGGTCGAAATTTTTATAGTCTTTTCATTTTGGCTGCCCTCGTAATCATCGTTGTTCTGGGGCGTGAAATCTCATCCAATTTTACTATTGAATAAATAGAAGGGGTAGATGGGTGCATGGGTTAAAAGCTTGTGTGTACAACGGTGGCCGTCAAATGGGAGAGTTCATCATCATCATCATTGTCATCAACAACGACATCATCAGCCTGACTACGTCCTTTGCAGGACTAAGACCTATGCGATGTTCCGCCAGTCAGCTCGGTCCTGTGCTTGCTGCTGCCATTTGACACCCACAAACCTGGAAGAAATCTACAGGGATTCAGCTGCTACCATAGTGCTTCATAAAGAAAGCAACGGAATACCAATCAAGAAGGGTGTAAGGCTAGGGGGATACAATCTCCCCAATGCTATTTACCGCATGCTTACAGGAAGTTTTTAGAGGCCTTAGAATGGGAACAGTTAGGGATAAGAGTTAATGGATGTACCTTAGTAACCTGCGCTGCGCCGATGACACTGCGTTGCTGAGTAGCTCTGGGGACGAATTGCAACTCATCATTACGGAGTTAAGCAAGGAGAACAGAAAGGTAGGTCTTAAAATGGGAGAGTTATACCGACCTGATTTGACAATGCAATCAAGTCCATCGCTGATGTAACCGATAAGTGTAGCTTGCTATCGTAGCAAAGAAGAAAGGATTTTAGATGCGGAGCATCTTATACTCGCGCCTTGTAGTGCGCCGTCCGCGCCGTCCGCACCGCTTCTCGAACATTCGACAGCTGACGCGCGCGCATGCGCCGTCGCGCCGTCGCCCACTCTTCCACCATCTGTGCATCCCTTCCTCCTCTACACACCGCGCGCGCTTCACTCCTCCACCATCTGTGCACCCTTCCTCCTCTACACACCGCGTTCGACATCTACAATTCTTTTTTTTTTCTTTATTGCCGACATCTAATTCTCCTGATTCTCCAGTGGACGCGCATGTGGCGTCGCGCTTCGAGAACATTCAACAGCTGACAGTGCATGCGCCGTCGCGCTGTATATATACTCAAGGTCGGCGCTCGCTCGCTCAGTTGCCGCTCGTCGGTTGGTTTGTACGGCGCGTCGACGTCCAAGGTCGCGGTGAAATGAATTCCAACGAATCCACAAACACAATGATCGACGTCCCATCGACCAGCGCCGCCCTTTCGCATACGTGTGTACGTGTTCACTCATTTAACACCCCCTCCTACAACCACGTTAACCAATTTAGCCATCGACCCAAGTAAGTCGCAATTTAACACCCCATTTCACAACCACGTTAACCAATTTAGCCATCGACCCAAGTAAGTCGCGCTTTAACACCCCGTTAACCAATTATATGGTCCGCATCCTCCTCAGTGTTCCCCCGAGGGAAGCTGCGGGCAATTTTTTTCATAGAGCTATAGACATACACTCTAAGAAGTAAAGGAGGAATAGGGGTATCGAGGTTGCTCCTTTAGAGGAGTAACTAACCTGCCGCACCAATTGCACCATTTTGGGAGTAACCGCGAAGAAGTAACCGCGCTCTCGCGGTTACTCCTCAAAGGAGCAACAGTGGGGTTGACTTAACCAGCCTTTCAAAGCGCTTGCAGGCATTTCATTATACGTACAATCGATGTGCAAGCAACACATACAGAAGTAAATTTCGGAAAATTTGCAGCAAACACACGGGATGGGAACTCGCGACCACTCAGCCAGCATGCGCGTACACTAAGCACTGCACCATACCACGCTATGGCACCGTCTGAAAGGAAACAGGGTGGTGTAGGCACCGATGGGTCATTTGCACACGGTGCCACCATTCCTGCAGTTACTCCGAAAAACGGGCGCTTTACTCCACAAGGGGGAAAGTGCCCCTCTTTTGCCGTGCCGTGTGCAATATTTTGCGCACATTTCGTCTTTTACAGGAGCGAAGAGCCCTTTCCCGGGTAGCTGCGCAGTTGACCCGCAATACTTTCAGAGTGATGTACGTACGTATGTATGTATGTACGTACGTACGTATGTATGTATGTATGTATGTATGTATGTATGTATGTATGTATGTATGTATGTATGTATGTATGTATGTATTGTATGTATGTATGTATGTATTATGTATGTATGTATGTATGTATGTATGTATGTGTGTGTGTATGTATGTGTGTATGTATGTATGTATGTACGTACGTACGTATGTATGTATGTATGTACGTACGTACGTATGTATGTATGTATGTACGTACGTATGTATTGTACGTATGTATGTACGTACGTACGTACGTATGTATGCATGTATGTATGTATATATGTATGTATGTACGTACGTACGTACGTATGTATGTATGCATGTATGTATGTATGTATATATGTATGTACGTACGTACGTACGTATGTATGTATGTATGTATGTATGTATGTATGTATGTATGTATGTATGTATGTATGTATGTATGTATGTATACTGTGCATATTAAGTTTGGCAGATCAGTATTATGACCAGAACGAGAAATATTACGAAGAAGGTGAGTCGATGTCGAGCGCGATAACATATAGAATTATTCAGGTACTTAATCGCAAATGTCCAGTTTATTTTTATTTTTTATAAAATAAGGGAGGAATGAACGTGTACCCGTATCAGATGCCGAATGGCAACAGAACTCGTATGAAATTAAGACCCGTTTATTGCCTCGGAAGGAAGCTTTCTTTAATTAACCAAGGCACGCGTACTATGTCGCACAAACGGGTTAGGCGAGCGCCAGCCATAAATATATGCGTATATGCGACATATGTGTCACCTTTTGTAGTTGTCTTACACATGTCGCGCGCGTACCTGTATATCATGTGTCCGCCTTTTGCTTTATATCTAATTATCTTTAATTATCTTTCTCATCTGACTCGTTACGTGACTCCTGTCGGAAACGTTTTTAATGCAGGTACCCGTCGTGAGGTAATTTTATTTTGTTTGTTTTTGTGCAGCGAGAATGAGCACGCAGGGAATATTTTTTTTTTTCGTAATTGACTAACCATAAAAGGGGAAAAAAGTTCGAACATACATTGGCAGTAATATTATCAGCAAGGAATACGTTTCATACATTTCAACAGAACGGAACATATCCCGAACTATCGTGCATTACCTTCCTGTCACAATGCCACAGCAATAAGATAGACGAACAAGCCGCGCTTATGAATAAAAGAATATTTTCACCAACTGCTGGGGGTTCTTGAACGTGAACTACGCGAACCTCTAAACACATGCGCATTTGTTTTCCACCCCTAACCCTTCCATGATTTGTTTGAAATAAAAACAACAAGAGTTAGGGAAAGCCTGCTTTTACTGCTACAGAAAGTCGAAGGCTAGCACAAAATGAAGAAGTAATGAATATATGATATGATATGATAACGATTGATTGATTGATTGATTGATATGTTGGGTTTAACGTCCCAAAACCACCATATGATTATGAGAGACGCCGTAGTGGAGGGCTCCGGGAATTTCGACCACCTGGGGTTCTTTAACGTGCGCCCAAATCTGATTACACGGGGCTACAGCATTTCCGTCTCCTTCGGAAATGCAGCCGCCACATCTGGGATTCGATCCCGCGACCTGTGGGTCAGCAGCCGAGTATATATACGTTAACCACTAGACCAACACGGCGGGGCAAGTAGTATTTTGTCTCCGTCGAAATGCAACAACTGCCACGTTTTTTTAAACTTGTAGTAGCGTAGTATGTACGTGCTGAAATGAATATTGCGCCAATGAACCATACACGTTAGGAATAAACTGTGCCTAAGCTCTAAACTTTGGTCCCAAATATGACCCGATTATTTTATGGACTTCCCCAAGTACTCAGTTACTGAAAGGTTAAAAGGCGGGCTATAGGATGGAGCCTCCCCTTTTGTATTTTCGTTTTTACCTTCGTGTGTTTCCGGTAAAGGATTTTCGTTGAGTAAACAAAGTTTCAGTCTACGCTCGTTTGTCTCCACCCTTTTTTTTTGCGTCCCATCAGTTTGCGCTGCCAGATTTTTCAGTATGACACAATTACTCCTGTTTTTGGCAGATACCTTTTCGGGACGTCGGCGCACATTCGGAGGTTTATAACTGGACGACTCGTACACTTCGCAGCACTGTTCCTGTATAAGAACGTTGTGCTGCATGCTCTGTGCTTGGCACTTCCTCATGACACGCGGCTGGCACAGGTCTTAACCACGTGGCCCGCGGACTCTCAGCTAGCGGCGCGCCTCGCAAATGTCCGTCTTCGTCCCACTTTTTTTTTTCGCAATAGGCGGGTTTATGACCCGCACTGGCAAGTCCAGTCTTAAGCATACTTTTTTTTTCGTGACGCGCTCCATCCGGCCACCGTGCGTTGAAACAAGCGTCGAACAAAAATCACTCTACTTCAGAATGTCGGTACATATCTCCAGGTTTAAGTAATTCTCGAGGCCAGTATCGATATGTTTCTCGAAACACGTCGTCAAATTCTCTTCAGAAATGACTCATACCTATATGAGATACGGAAAAGCGTTCTGTCAAACAGAAACGTTAGTTGACGTTTTGTTTGAACAGACCACCTTCCACCTTGCTCTAAGCTTCGTCACCGTACCGAGTCATCAGGACGCTAATTATCATGCACGACTGCGGCCCACTAGCTTAGATCAGTTGAAAAGACTTCTGCAGTATAGTGTACTCACTCCAAGTGCAGGACGGTGGAACGTCTCTGTCTTGTGCACGCGCGTTTACAGCCGCTACGCCGGTGACCATCGTGACCAGGGCACAAGTCCAGAAAGTCCACGAAGACGCCGTAGCGTACGCCGGTCGCCTGTCATGGTTCTTTCGCATGTCCATTCCCCTGCTGTACAGTCCGTGTGGTGTGTATGCCAGACTGCGCCGTGAGTGGCTCTTCGCCTTGTGGACAGCAGTCGAGAAGTGCTGCCACGCGTCTTTGCTCGTTGTTTCGCGGACCAGCACGAGCAGCCCAGCCGCGGTGGATGATGGGAAAGGCCGTGCTGGGTGCCCGTTGCGCTCTTAAATATTCGTTTTTGTTCGCGCGCTCTCTGCCAGGCGCACAACGTGATCCCGCGCTAACGAGATGACGTGCCCAACGCCGCCGGCACATTATACCCCCTCTCGCTAAGTGGGCTGGAGAGTGTTTTGTTCCGGTGTATTACTTCACAATGAGGCCGCCATTTTGATCTCTGAAGTCGGTTCTTTTTTGAGACATGAGCATGTGTCCTTTACGCTGTTTAATTGTTTAAAGCGGTTAGCCAAAAGGGTTAAATTAAGGAACCAGAGCTTGCGTTCATGAATATGTACGTTATGCATGCTTTCACAGAGAAGCTGTCGAAGTGTACCTTGTGCTGTCGTCGTCGTCGTCGTCGTCGTCGTCGTCGTCGTCGTAGTAGTAGTAGTAGTAGTAGTAGTAGTAGTAGTAGTAGTAGTAGTAGTAGTAGTAGTAGTAGTAGTAGTAGTAGTAGTTGTAGTAGTAGAAGCCGCATCAGTAGTAGTATTTCAATAGTAGTGGTTGTAGTAGTAGTAGTAGTAGTAGTAGTAGTAGTAGTAGTAGCAATAGTAGTATCAGTAGTAATAGTACAGTAGCACAACGTTATACTACTGTACTAATACTAGTACTATTAGTAGGGCCGTAGGCCAGTACTAATAGTAGTAGTGAAAGTATATAGTAGTAATAGCAGCAGTATATACTGGCAGAAGTAGTAGTATTAGTAGCAGCAGCAGTAGTAGTAGTTGTAGTATAGCAACAACATTAGTACTAGCAGTAGCACTAGTAATATTATAGTAGTAGCGGCAGTAGTAATCTAGTACAAGTAGTATTAGTAACAGCAGCAGTAGCAATAGCAGTGCTAGCAGTCGTAGCAGCAGTAGTAATAGTAATGGTCGTCGTAGTAGTTATAGTACGAGTCGTTATGGTATTCGTAAGGGCATTAGCAGTGCTATATAGTAATCGCAGTATAGCAATATGGCGAACTTCGGCTTGTTGGTGAAGAATTATGAAACAGCGCAAGTAACGATGCTGACATGGAAGAGAACACACGCAGCACTCACTTACAGTTTATTAGTGCATTTCTTTCCTCGCATATAAGCAGGGAATCAACTATACTTTAATGCGCATCTCAAAAGCAGACGGTATAACAAAATGAAAAGCTCAAGTAACGCGGTGAAAGGAAGGCAACTTGCGTTACTTGCGCTGTGCGTTTCGTAATGCTTTGAAAACAAGCCCGAGTTCGATCTATTGTAAACATTATTTCATGTACATCGTGCCCTTTTTCTCCCCATTCCGTCATCATCAACAAAATCGCAATTGCGGCGTATCGCGCAAGAACGCTGTCCTACTGTAGATCCACATAAGTCGTCCCCTTTTTTGTATACCCGACGTGGTATTGTGGTAAAACATTTTAGCTTTACATTTCTTTTGAAGACCGTGGCGCCCTCTCAAAGTTCACTTGCTATTGTTAAATTGTGCATATATATGTAAAGAAATGAATATAAAATGTATTTTTGTGTGTTGAGCTTCGAAATGGTGCTTGCTCTACTGCAGAGGTTCCGTTTAGTTGGGCAATTCAACCATTCTAAGTTTTTCTAACTGCCAGCTACGTATTTTCAAGAACGAAAAACCGTAGAAGTTCGCGATCTTTTTGAAGCTAACTCAGTCTCCCCTAAGCATTCTTAATTTGTATGGTTTTCAGAAAAGCGTGATTTTGCACAAAAATGGTTTAGGGTGAAACTTACTTCAAATCTTTCCGTAAAAAAAAATGAATTCAGAGAAAATAGGCGATTTTCGGATATTAATTGACCATATTTTTTGCACTGATGAGCTCCAAGTAAAGATCCCCATGATATTAAGTAATGAAGAAAGTTTATTCAAATGGTTTTGACAAAAAAGTGTTTTACACCACGGTCCACCAAGATTTCACTGTCGCATTTCCGTCGCGTAAACTACTTTGTCAAATGTACATCAACAGATGACAAAAAAAAAGAAGTTTCGTCACCGGAACTTAAACCAACGATCCCGCTCATCGGGGGGCTAAACGACTCGGCCACACGTGGTCGCCCGTGCGCACGCGCTTGTTTCGTCGCGGAGGCAGTTTGTACGTCTTAGTGTTTTCACCGCAAAGTTTGCGTTGACGTAAACGCCTAACCCCACGTATCCGTCACCGCGCGTTGGCGCGTCTCTTTTTGAAGCGGCGTCAACCCTCTCCCATATAGAGAGAAAGAGAGAGCGGCTTCACAGAGCGGTCTTTACAGAGCGCATGCATGATGGTCGCTTCGCTCGCTGCAGCAGCCTTGTTTGCGAAAGGCGTGCGCTGCTCGAACATAAAGTAGTAAAATCTTTGACAGTTAGTTCGCGCTCGTCCTATACTTGTGCGTCCGTTTCGTCCGTCCTTCTTTGTGTTTGAGCAGCGCACTTCAAGTGTTGAGCTGTGACAGTTGTTAGTTCGCGCTCGTCAAATGTCTGTGTTCTTTATGGTGCTGCCTTTGTGCTTGAGGAGCGCGCTGAAAAGTCCAGAGACTTTGAAAGTTTGACTCCTATAATGAAGGGATCAGCGTTTTTTTTGTTTTAAGAAAGAAAATGTTTTAAAATTAGGCTCTCCGAACGCATGCACCATTTCTGTCTGGTGCTACTTTGCCGCAAAGCACGAGGTCACCTTTGCAGATGGCAGTGTTCACAGGAGGAGGCAATATGCGAGATGTACGTCAGCGGCTCGTGAGCGTTCGGAAGTTTGGTCGCCTCGATGTCAACGCTGTACAAGCAATGAATTCGCTTTACAATGACAGCTTGACTGGCGGGACAAATGGGCAGCACGGTCGCCGGACGGCATCACTTTATTTCGCTCTCTTTCTGTACTAGTTCTTTCGCTCATCAGGGCATACCACGCCGCACAAATCACCGTACGAAATCACGTGTCACGATCATAACTTTATTTCTAAATATTGTGAAGTCTTGGTTAGGATTACCTTTTATTAGGCCCGAGGAACCGGCAGCCGACAGCTACGATGAATGAGCCAAGACGATGATGCCACGCGACAACGATGAGGATGCATGAGCCACACATGATAATGATGATAATGTACCGGTGAAGAGGATGCGTATACTAAATGCCCACATCAATTCCCCACACGTGAAATCGGCCAGCCTGGCCGCGGCAAGTCAAGGGGACAAAGAACGTCGCATGAAGGGCCTCATACGGGAGACATGGACGACCTCTGTAGTTCGATAACGGCAATCTGCTGGGGCTACAAGTGGCGTCACGCGATAATTCACTGGTGAAGTCTCTTCAAGAACTGTGTACGGCCCGATAAACCGAGGCTGAAATTTGTCACATCTCAGATTTGGGTGCACGTTAAAGAACCCCAGGTGGTCGAAATTTCCGGAGCCCTCCACTACGGCGTCTCTCATAATCATATAGTGGTTTTGGGACGTTAAACCCCACATATAAATCTATCAAATTTGTCACACAAACCAGGTGTGCGAACAGGCGTAAAAAGGAGCACTTCGTCTCCAGGTTGAAAGGATACCGCACGACGCGATTCATCATAAACTAGCTTTCTGCCTTGCTGGCGGGCTTCAGTGTTTATACAAGCACGTTGGCGGCACTGTGCGAGTCATGAAACGTATTCCTCTGAAGAGGATGGAGATGAATTCGCTTGGCAGGTAAAGAAAGAGACGTCCAGGAAAGAAGTGGGGGAGCGTCCATAAACTAGGTAAAATGGCGAGTAGCCGGTTGTTCGCTGAATGGCCGTATTGTAGGCGAAAGTGACGAATGGTAGAACAACATCCCAGTTTTTGTGGTCTGGTTGAATATAGGCGGCGATCATGTCAGCAAGAGTGCGGTGGAATCGCTCAGTGAGGCCGTTAGTCTGGGGATGATAACTAGAGGCAGTCTTGTGAGTTGTGCCGGAGGCGTGAAGAAGTTCGTTCACTAGTTGTGAAAGAAAGGTTCTTCCACGGTCACTGAGCAACATACGTGGATCACCATGACGCAGTATAATGGCTCGGAGGATGAAATCGACAATCTCAGTAGTAACGGATGCCGTCTCGGCGTAGCGCGTCAAATGGTCAATGGCTGTTACTATCCACCGGTTTCCAGCAGCACTGACTGGGAGGGGGCCAAAAAGATCGACGCCTACAACTTCTAATGGTGTGGCTGGGCACGGAAGAGGCTGTAGTGTACCGGCGGGAGCAGATGTTGGTAGTTTTTTACATTGGCAGGTAGTGCAGGACCCGACGTACCGAGCTACACTAGTGGTAATGCCTGGCCAATAAAACCGACTTTGAAGGCGATCGTGGGTTTTATGGTAACCAAGGTGACCAGCAGTCGGATGGTCATGAAGTGCCCTGAGGACTTCGAACCGAAGCGATCGGGGTAGAATGGGAACCCAGCGCTCACCATCAGGATGGTAAATTTTGCGGTAGCACCGAGTTGTCCAGCTTAAATTGCGAGAGTTGGCGACGGAGCCTTGTATTAGGTGGACGGGAACTGCCAGTGAGGTAGCCTATAATACGTCGACAGTATGGGTCAGCCAACTGTCGAGAAGGAAAATCGTGCGGGTCGTCCGAAGGCAGCTGGTCCATAGAGGCGAGAGAGGAAACCACCGTAGACGTGGACTCCGAGGGCGTGTTGTGCAAATTGATGGCGGAAACCCCGAGTGGAGTCGCTGGTAGTGGGCAGCGAGAAAGAGCATCGGCGTCACTATGCTTCCTGCCACACTTGTACACGATCTCAAAATCATATTCTTGGAGGCGTAGAATCCAGCGTCCGAGGCATCCCGACAAGTTATTGAGTGTCGAAAGCCAACATAAAGCATGGTGGTCGGTCACAATGGTGAAATGGCGGCCATGCAGATATGGACGAAATTTATGTACTGACCAAACGATGGCGAGGCACTCCTGCTCGGTGATCGTGTAGGTCCTCTCGGCTGTGGAGAGGACGCGGCTGGCGTATGCAACGACTCGCTCTCGCGAAGAGTTG